TATTGTATTTGCTCTTAACATAGACTAACATGCTTCTTTCTTGGCATTTATCTCGGAAAATCTATCTATTATTACATTAAAATCTAATTTATCTACTAATTCTGTTTTAATTTTCGGGATTGGCAAAGATGACAATTTATTCTGACCTTAAATATTTTTCCCCCCTCTCTCTTCTTTTTAAATCTATTTTAAGATGGAGAAAGATCTTCACCACTAGCATTACTGACAGGTGATGTTACGTATTTAAACTCAGTTATTCGTATATATTGTATATTTATTTATGATTCTTAGTTAATTTTGATTAGATAATTCCAAAAATTAAGCAATAACAAATTTTGAGAAATTAAAGAAAAGAAAAAGAATATATAAACGTTAACATTAATGCACCGGTATCAGCCGCCATATTGATAATCTAAGCGCATCGATAATTTTTAACGTTTAAATGGCTAAAATTTGAAACTTTTTTGTTTTAAATTAGTAAATTAACTTATTTTATAATTAAATAAATATATGTTAGATGAATAAATTGTTTCTTCTGATATTTTCTATACATTTATTAATTATCGTAAGATTTCGCCCTTCATAGCGTGGAGTTTTCTGGGCTTTCTTTACGTTATTAATTAACACCTAAATATGAACCAGTTTCCTTTATTTACAGGCGGAATTTCACGGTTGTAACTCTACAATCAGACTTATACGAACAGCCAAATTGTATTTTAAACCCACGTATGATACGTTATAAGGATGTGTATAGTGTGATATCTCACATTTAATTTATAATAATAATAACACTAGGAAAATTTGCCATACTTAATACAGTTGTTATTCCATTGACTGTAATTTAACAATTTATAAAGTTACACGAACGTATTAAGTAGGTTTTAAATTGTACTTAATGCATTAACCAATTAAATAGTCTATCCTAGTCCATTAAGTAGTCTTTAAATTGTACAGAATACTTTCTACAATAACAAAGCACAATATCGTAGCAGCAATTAAACATTTATAATATATTTCAGTATATTAACTGAACTACTACATTGAGAATTTCTATCGTAAATAATAAACTATATGTCGAAATTATTTATTTTCTAACGAGTTCGAGATGTGACGCACGACCTCATGTATATCCTCACCCCCTCGACCTTTAACCACCAAAATTTAATAGCATCAATGTCCCTAATACACGAACTTCACTGCCAAATTTCAGAAATTTTCGACAAATGGCACAGGAGTTATAGAGAAAATGCCCGGAAAATACGTTAAAGATTCTGTAATTGGATAAAATTTATTTATGGATTGATAATGTCAAGATTTCCTGTGTTATAACTTGATATGTCTGCATTCACTGTAATGTACAGTGAATGCAGGCATATCAAGTTATAACACAGGAAATCTTGTTGGATGTTTACAACACTACATGTCATTGGTCTTCCGTAGAAGTTTCAAGGCTGTACTTGTGCCAATCAAAACCAAATTGTTGGCCAAACTAATGGATTATTTTTCAGGATATTATCTGGCTTATTGACCCAACACTCGAATTTCCTCTTGGGTCAATAATCTAGATAATATCCCGAATTCTAGAAGTGGTTTTTGGTTTAAAAAAATTCCTAACGATGCCTCACCTCGGAGTATCTCAGCATTGTTGTGAAGTTAACTGCTATGAAAGCCTGTAAGATCAATGTAATTTATTGATACGAGAATCAGTTATGTTGTTCGATGAGCAAATTTTATCATAACCCCTTAAGTATTTACATTTTTGGACTCAGAGGATCTTAAAACGTCGAGAAAAGCAAGCAATTCGGAGGGAGTTCTTCCTATATGTATGAATATTTGTGTGTGGGGGCACGATTTTGTTCACCAAATTTAAACTTTAATAAATTCTCTGCCTTTTGTCGAAATTTTCTGAAATTTTGCAAGGAGGTTTGTTGTATATACTAGGTGGCTTGATGCTCTTAAATTTGAGTTTCGTTTTTGTAATTCCTAAAATTGTCTGTTTGCATTACAATACAGTAGTCTTCAGTAACTGTTTAGAAGAATTTACTAAGTAAATATAGTCTATTTAGGATCGTTACATTGTTAGCATCAAAATAATCTTCTCCTCACTGCCTCCTGCTAAAACATGGGCGCAGACATCGTGTTACATACGGATATAAAATATAGTGATTCTGATTGGTCAATTTTGAATTGCCTGCGATTTTCATTGGAGCAATTGAAAATACGGTACAATTATTTTTAGAAAATCGATTATCGACTATGCATGTTAGGTAAAGGTTCAATGTATCCGCATCAAATATGGCATGAATATTCTTCGACACCATAAAAATAAAATGCGATGGGATCTTCATCCTACAAGCATACTCTCCTAACCTAATTTCACCGATCTCACACCCCTAAAGAGCCCGAATAATGCCGGGCACAAGCAGCTATCTAAGAGATTTATAGAGAAATTTATACTCAAAAGCCGAGTTCTCTCGTCTTTTTTGAGGCCATCAGTAAATTAAGAAAAGAAAAACGGCGTTAAATAACGGTGTTCTATTTTCTAAATAATAAAATTTAACAAGAAATAATGTTTTCCCCCTCTTTTCATATAGAAGAAGTGCAGTGGAATGAATAATCTGTAATAAATGTTTTTGAGGCCTTCGTAAATGTGAAGCTTAGCCAAATGTTCTGTTGGATCCTTTGTGAGAAGGACCTCCATATTGTTTGAAGATCTATTGAGATCTATTGAAAAATTTATTGAGAAACAAGAAAGGTTTCTCTTTAAACAGTAATATACAGTACAGTATTATTTTTTACTGATATATTAACGCATTATTAATAATAGAAACCTTTAAATCTATCTCTTTTCTAGTTTTTAACAACGAGGAATGATTCTAGCGATCTGTGATGCTTTAGAGACTAATGGCGCATTCAGGATTTAATCTTGGAGAGAGCAGAAATAAACGAATAAAAAATTTTTAATGCCAATTCAATAAAATTTCACCTTATGTTAGCGGCTACATAAGTAATATAGAAATAGAAGACACGACACAATATAAATAAAAATAATAATAATAAATTTTAATTAGAAAAAGATTATTGAAAAATTTTCCGGTGTTTCCTTTTGGAGGGGCCAGGACCCCTTGGCATTTCTCTATTAGAGACACTGGATGAACATAATACATGGAGATAGCGTTGTATTCTTCAGTTAATATTGCTTGATCTCTGTTGATCTGGCAAAAGAGAAAAGTCAATAAGGTTGATTCAACAACTCTGAAACCAAGGGTACCTGAAAGCCGATGATTTATCTAGGGATTGTTTGTTTATTTGTTTGTATGGCACCGCGACACGTGGCCCTGGGGAAATGCCTGTCGGGAGGAAACTGTTCCTGTTTAGATGTTAGAAAAGTAAAAAGAAATCCGGAAAACTCCACTTGACTAGAACGTCGGAGAGGCGCGAACTCACCATCAAATACCAGTTTTATTTTGGTAACTCTTTCCATCCTGTGGAACTTACATAAAAATCAAATGTCACCAGTTATAGATCCTTCAACCGAGCGGTCAAGATGGCAGCATACCGCTCTGGGGGATCCGGGATCGAATGTAGACGGGTTCTCAGGAATTTTTCGGGGATAGTCCGACCAAATATGTCGACCCCCATCTCTCAACACCCTGGCGCCCCATTGTGGGCCTGGCCAAACCCATAATGTGCTTGCTAAAAGAGGACCTCTTAGTGCCCACAGGGCGGAAAAACTTTTAAAAAATCACCTTTAAAAATCTGGCGTCTAATTACAGAACGATTCCGTAGCCGTAGTTCTAGTTTTTACCACTAGATGTCGCTAGTGTCGTGACGTTCAGATAGCGTATACCTCGTACTGTACGGTGTGCTTGGAATTTTTTGTCGATATTTCAGCTTTAAAACCATACTTTATCATCGATAATTGGTTTTGAAATATTCCCGCTACGTTGCTAAAAAATCGTTATGGAAAATATTGCGTTGGATATATTAGAAAATACTTGTTGTTATTGCGATAAGCACTTCTCCTCAAAAGGAAATCTTACTAACAAGCGTGTATGTTTAGAACATAAATAAATCCTGGTGGAGGAAAAATCTATATTCTGTCGGAAGACTTTATGTTCTGAAGGATTTTCTACTTTCCTTCGATTATGTGAGCATTTGGAGAAAGTACTGTACCTGTACAGTACATGGGTTTGCCTGTGAAATTGAGAAGCTGGAATTCAAAACTATTAAGGGTAAGTAAATTCTCTTCTGAAATTTAAAAAATGCTGTATTTAATTAATATATCTTAAAACAATTGTTTTCATGAATATTAACAGCTCATTCAGTAGTAATTAAAGATATTATGTACTGTATTTGACAGATTTCTACGAATGGAAAGCCACAGATAAGTTGAGAACCAAGTAAAGTTAACTGTGTCGTACTGTCTAAAAATTCATAGAATTTATAAATTCTACTCGCGCGGCTCTGGCACATGGGATCGTGACTAGGCTCAGTTCAAAAATGTACAAGTCGACCTCCCTATAACACTGTTGATTATTCCGTTTTATGTTGTACGAGTCAATTAGATTTTACAAATACGTGTGCCGAGCTGTGAACGGCCCACGTATTTGTAAAATCTAAGTGACTCGTACAACATGGAATTCATATAAAACGGAATAATCAACAGTGTTATAGGGGGGTCGACTTTTTAGTGTATTTACACTACAGCCAGAATTATGCTTGTCAAGCTTCTTGACGTCACGAAGTAGCGGCATCTCGTGGTAAAAAAGAGAACTACGACTACGGAATCGTTCTGTGATTAGACGCCAGTTTAAAAAATGGCGACCCGCCATATCTATTTTTTTTTTATTTTAACTCCTAACGTTTAATATTGCTTAAATTATATATTGTACAGTATATAAAATGTTTATTTTTTTAAATTTTTTCATACAATAACAATAAAACTTAAAAACTGATTTATATTTTATCTATAAATTTCTTTCAATCCTTGCAGCGCCCCTAAACGACGAGTTACGTAACTAATAAGTAAGATGGCGGTCTTTTCAACAGTTGATTTGAAACAGATTAAATTAGATTTGTGTAAATTATTGAAAGAATGTTCCGAAAGGAAATTGATACATTCGACGAAATGGTAAGTTATTACAAATATATAACTTGTTTATTATAACTGAAATTGTTTAATTGTTATGAAATTAACAAATGTTTATTATTTTTGTACATTTATGAGAATTATTTTGATTTGTTTGACTTAATTAGGGCTGCAGAATTATCTTTGGCACTTAGTAACATCAGATTAAGTCCTGAACAATTACAGCCTTCGTTACAGGATGCAGATGTGAGTATAATAATACATTTGACTTATAATTGTTGTTATTCAGAATATTTAACATACAACAAATACAAATTGGTAAGATGTCAACCCTTTTTAAGAATTTCCCACTCACAGAATTATAGACCCTCCTATATGAGCAAAAAGTCAAAGGAACAATACTTGTATGTGTGACTCGTGGCAATATATTTGCCTCCAAAGGTCAGTTTTTACTACATACTGGTACTACTGCCTATTCTCCATTCTCTGCATCGGTCGTGGCTGGCTACTGCTTGCCTTTTACTGATGCACCGCATTCGGTACGAGCAGCAGAGAGCACTGAAGTGGGCACTTGTTCAGTTTATGGGGTACGACTGTTTGAAAGGTTTTCTTCCATAAAATTAATCGATTCTAGACTAATTTGACTCGAATATTTCCAAAACATGTATAATTTTTTGGGAGTAATCCATATAAAATATGCTATAAACAAAAAATTGTAGGAATACTTACCGAGTGTGCACCGTTCGAAGCTCATTTTTGTCGTGGAGTGACAGCAGATGCATACGAAGTATATCGTGTGACATTTGTCGGTGCTATTTGGTCATGTGACTACTCATCTCTGATATGTTTCCTGATAACTTATTCTTCTTGTGAAGAATTCATTGAACTTTGTAGACATCATTAATGGAAATATTAAGACATCATTTCATTTTAAATATGGATTAAAATCAACATATAATAACATATGATAATGCGATAAATAACTAATAATTCTGCTCTGCTTTTAAATAGCCTAATCTCTTTCATGTCTTAAACCAAATTGAATTACAGTATATTTATTTAGATCAAAATATTAGACATCTTATGTTGCATCTGATTAATATTTATCATCATAATATATATCATGATAGAATTATTGTTGTTAGCAAGCGGTTTTACCTTTGTTGTTTCATATAGTCAATAATAATAATAATAATAATAATAAGTTGTTTCTAATTACAATAAAAATACTATAGTATATTATGATCTATCACATGATGTCTCCAAAGTTCAGTGAATTCTTTGCAAAAAGAATAAGTTATCAGGAAACTTGTTAGAGATGAGTAGTCACGTGACCGAATAGCACTGACAAATGTCACATGACACGCTTCATAAGCGTCTGCCATCTGATGTGCTGCTCTGAGATGAAAACAAGCTTAAGCAATGGCATGTTCAAACAGTGCACACTCGGTAAGTATTCCTACAATTTTTTGTTTATAGCATATTTTATATGGATTATTCCCAAAAATTATACATGTTTTGGAAATGTTTGAGTCAAATTAGTCTAGAATCGATTAATTTTATGGAAGAAAACCTTTCAAATAGTCATACTTCATAAACTGCACGTGTCCATAAGTGCAGTTTATGGAGTATGACTCCATAAGTGCTCTGAAGTGTTTATGTGAGGTGAGCACCCACATTCCCATAACTATATAATGTCAACATTCTTTGAATTAAAAAGCTGTTAAAAAGAACCACAATCTTACAATGAAATGTATAGTGAAATACTATCATATCTATGCAGTATAAGTTACTTTGAGGGGAAAATTGTATAATACTTGTTAATGTCAACACTTACTGATATCCCACAGAGTTATATGTTAACAAGAATCCACTGTAAATGTTTATTTTTCATACATAAAAGATGCATTTGTATTTTGGATAATTGTAATAATGTATTATGTACGATTATCTATTAAAATGTATGTACATTGCTATTGAAGCACACAGTTTTATTAGATTTTCTTGATGATCAGTTGATATTGTGTAAGCATGTAAAATATGAAGAGAAATATTTATAAAGGTTATAATTATAATAGTAAAACAACTCAAATAAATTTAAATATGTAAGAGTTAAATTGCTTTTTAATATATGTTTTCATAACTCATATGGAGCTTTATTATCAGATAATTTATGCCTTAGCATTTAAAAATCAATGCGTAAAATGCTAAAGAAAAATTCTTCTATTGTTTAGGCTACCTTGATGTTTCTTATTTCAATTTTTGATATGACAAGATATGAATACACCTGATGAAGTTCATACGTGCTTTGGAAACATTTATGTAATACAAAATTAATTTTATGAGAAAGTTTGATTCAACAAGGATGATATTCATTATTAAACACCTAAAATGTTTCAAATAAAAACATATTGAATATTTTTAAAATGAAATTGTTCACATATATGATTTATAGTTTTTACATTTAATAATTAAAATTTTATTTTTAGGATCAAACCTGGCAAGAATGGGATAAATATATATTAGCAAAGAGCTATTTTGATTCTCAAGAATATGACAGAGCTGCCTATTTTACTGAAAACTGTACTTCTCCAAAAGCACATTTCTTACATTTATATGCAAGATATCAAGTTAGTTTTTTTATTAAAAATTAAACTTTAATGATTGAATTTATTAAATACAATATTGTATAAAGCATGTAACAATAAATTTCACGATGATGAGGTATTTTTAAAAATGTTAAGTATTTTTTGCCTTTTTCTGTATTATGCACTCCTATAAGCAATCATAAACATAAAATTGAAATATTAGACACAGAATGAAATATACTAATTCAAATATTTTGAAAGCTATCAAAAATATTGAAACTTAAAGATTTTCAATTTTTAATATGTGGGGCTGTCCATAAATGATGTCTACACTGGAAGGGAGGAGGGAGAGGTTATTACAAGTCAGACAAGGGAGAGGGGAGGGGTTGATCTTCAGTGGATGTTTGTTTGTTTCATTAAAATTTCTACAGTTTATGCATTTTATTAAATTTATTTCAAAATTTCTTGTATGTTTCGTTTTTATTTATGGTATATATTATTCATAAAGTGATATTTAGATTGTCATTTATTTCGTAATTCTCACTTAAGTATTTGTTTAATTGTAGTCTGGAGAAAAAAAGAAATTAGATGATATGGTTGATACAGTTGGTAAGTATAATAAATTTTTTAATGGTGTTTGACTATATGAAATATAGTATTTCTTTTATGAACTTCACACTTAGCATTTGCAGATAATATTTTAATATTTTGAATAAAAATATGAAGCTTGTTTTCTCACTGCAACTTCAACAATGTGATAATTACATCAAAATCAAACAAACAGCTGGATTCCTTTACCCACTGTTAAGGTTAAGTAATTACTAAGTACTTGGGTTGGATGTAGGCAGTTACAATGCCATCTCTTAAATTTAATAATTATAAATAAACAAATAAACTTTAATTTAATTTAAGAATATTTTGAAAGAAAAGATTGGCCTGGAATGGGACCCATAACTCCTACTTCCCATGAAGACATTTTGCCAGTTACACATCCAGAACTCTGTCTGATCTTCACTTTCAGACTAATTACTTAATTAACTAATTCAGATATAACTATATTGATCACTCACTGATTTAACAAGAGATGGCAGTGTAACTGTCCACTGCCAAATTACTAATTATTTAGCCTTAATAGCCTGATAAAGGAATCCAGCTGTTTGTTTTATATTTGATATACTATATACATGTTAATAAACAGCACAGCTAGTTTCCTCTAATAACAAGCATGCTGTTTATTGGAGGAAGATAGGGTCTTATTAACTGAAAAATTGCACATTCTATTCAGCGTTGTCACTCTTACTGGATTTTAAAATAAAGTGTATTAAGTGCTCTGTTGTTGTTTAAATAATAATAAAGTGAAAAAATTTGTTAAATTTATTCCATTAGCAGTCTCTTCAGAATAATAGTTGCACTCAAAGAACAGAAATAATAGTTCTCTAACAATAAGTGCACTGTAATAAACAGTGCAGCTTCAAGCTGAGAAAGTTATAAACAGCATGCCGTTTATTAGAGTATGTTAATTTATAAATCGAATTTTGAAATAAATTTATGCCAATAGTCTTCTCCATATTAAAATATCTAAATAGTGAAATGTTTTAATATCAAATACAAGTAAAATGGCAAAACCATATTTGGGACAAGACTATGTCTCGGAGACAGAATCACTTTGATGCTCAAGGCAGGTCTCGTTCTCATTCTCCTATCTTCTTTGATATTGCTGCTTTTGGGCGCGATCATTCAAACTTTGCCGGCCACGACCATGAGATTGTCCACAATGCATCTTTGATGAAATTAACCTATCTAATTTCAAAATTTCTCTCCATTATGTGTCAGCCCGGGAATTTTTGTCAACGCGTAACGAAAAGTTCCCGTTTTTGAAAAAAATAATTGTGGCTATTGCATTGCCCGAAATTATTTTTTTTTATTTTGCACAAACAATATACAATTTAACTCGATTATAATGTCATCGAATGTAATGACAACCCTAATATAACGTCAAATTTTTATCAGTCCTACGATTTTACTATACTAGATAATGTTAAAAAACCCACTTGTAACGACATAAAACCGTTTTAAACGTCATATTTGAAGCACTCCCAAATTTACAAAATTAGATTACAAATTTTATTTAACATAGAAGAAACTACATGTTCAGTCCTAAGGTCAGAGTTCACTTCTTAGAATGACTGCAGGTTGTACTCACCCCTACCTGACTTCGGTGGGGTGAGGTGGCTGTTTTGCCTGTTTGTAGAAGAGGGTTGCCATTTTGGATTTTATTTTGACTCGACTCTTGGTCCCCTGACTACCTACGAGTCTGGATTTTTTTATGCGCAAATGATTTGGGCACTTAATACTCTGTGCCATTTATCTACTCTCGACATGTACTTCTTCATACTTCTATGCTGGTAAGAAAATCGGGCAGTACGATTTTATAAACAAGACATAGTCTTGTCAATAACAAACTTATTTTCATTCTTGAAAGAGTTAAAAACCACTTAGTAGACTGGAATGTTATAATAAACACTTCAGTCAAAAGCCTTAAATTGTATTCCAGTAAGGTTTACTGTTACTTTTATTTTTATTTCTATTTTATATATTTTGAGAATTTATTTTACTTAATTTTTCAAAAAAAAAAAAAAAAAACCATTGTTTGATTCAATCATGCCATCAGATATACAGACCTGAAGAAGATCTCCAATTGCAGATCAAAAACGTTAGTCGAAAACCTTTTTTTGAGTTAAAACCATACTGCAGTACATTTTAAGGATTTTGATTGAAGTTTATATTATTTTCAATCTCTTTCAGTTTAAAAGTGTCTTAATATAAAAATATTTCAGTTTAACAAAATAAAAATTTAAATTTTTATGAAAGAAAGCAATCGTTATGACAAAATCTGCAAATTTGTAAACATTAATTTTCTTTAGTTCTTAATGGACACTGTCTCTATGTTTATCTAACAATACAAATTATAGTTGTAATTGTTGATTTAGTTTGTGGGTGACATCGTTGATGTACAATTATCTAAAATGGTAATCTTACCTTCATCTAATATTGTGGAAAATGAAGTCAAGATTATTTTTTCAATGCAGTTAACATGATGTTAACATCCTGCACATAACAACATGAGAAAGTATGTCAGATAGCATATTGGAATGTTGTAAAACAGTTTAGTAATTTATGGAGATTTTTGAATATACACACAATGCAATAAAAAATGTCAGACTTTTTTCAACAATAACCAATGGTTATTCTGGAGAGAATAATATGGTTGATTATCAGAGTTGTTGCTATTTTGTACATCAGTTGTTTGTTTAAGACAAAGCTGATAATAAATAGTTACATAGATGACTAGATCATTGAGACAGTAAAGGCATTAATCTGCCCTACTTGGAGGAATCAGTAGGATAGGCTAGTGCAGCATGCAGTAGAGTAAGATGAATTGACACTGCGCTTTAATAGTCATTCACCCATTGTAAGTTATGCTAAACTCATGATTGAAAGATCTTCTTTGTTCAGAGGGCTGTTAAATTGTAGCGTTCTTTTTTATGTTAATATTGCAGGTTTTAGTTAATAACCAGTTTAATATTGCATTTGAAAGATCTTTTTATTGAATTTTTTTCTTTTAATATATGAATCACACTATTTAATGTGATGATTTGCATTTGTGTCGTATATAAAAATAATGAACATAAGAAGCTGGATGCATAAAATTTAAATTACTTTAATTTAAAAATATATATACAGTAAAATCCCGTAACACAAAGTCAAGAGGACTTAAAATTGGCACATTATTAAGTTTTTAATATGTTGATTTTCATTGAAATTGAAACAGTTATTTAAAACATTTTCTTGCTTCAGAAGATATTTTCTCATAGGTTTACAGGATTTGCCATTTATTTATGTGTTCCAATTGTTAAATCAAATTTTATTTGCTTAAGAGTTATTCTTATATTGTTATGTCATTTCATAATTCAACAAGGAAAGAAAGAATTACAGTAGCATTGGGCATTGGTTAATATTATTTAAAAACATTTAGTTTCTTTTTTACAATCTCAATTAATATCCCTTTAAGTATCTAGTTTATAATCAACTATTGAAAACTGGATATACTTAATAAACAAAGTGAATGAAACCAATTTCCAACACAAAATTACAAGAAAGCAAATGTTTTCAACCATGTTAAATGTGCATCTTCAGGCTAACTGACTTTTGCAGCTGTTAGAACAAGGGAATTGCTGTCCACATGTTAAGAAGGGTGATGTAATAATGAGAGAGGAGGGAGAGGGTTGTAAGATTAAACATTGTAGATCAATTTTTATCCAGTTTATTTTGTTTAAATAATCTAAATATGTAAATTAGGATATTTATTTGCTATGTACTCCTAGGCCATTCGACCAATTGCTACGAAACTCTCGGCAGTTATGTTCAAATACTCCTAATGCAGATTATGTTGTACATCTCATCCCAAATTATTGACTGGATTTCTCTATATTGATTAATTTCTGTCTACAGTTGATTGCTGCCCCTGTACATGTGCCATCTATTGGAAAAAATTTAACAAAATAATTAACTAAATATAATTTCTTACAAAAAAGGATATATATATATATATATATATAATATAATTTACTGAATTACTGCGACAATGATATAGTGTGAAATAGATGTGCCATTATGCTATTACTGAGACAGGTAGCACATAGCCCTTGCCTGCTTGGAATGTAGTAGTGTTTTTCACTGTACATCATACGTTTTGTGTTATCAATAGAGTCATGACGGTTATGTATCTAACTCCATTCAGGGGAAAATTTTTGAATTGAAATAATGTGACTTGCATTACAAATCAAAAGTTCATATACAATTAATCTGGTCCTTTTTCTCTTAAGATTTCTATGTCTTGTCTCAACTTTCATCTTTCTAACTGTTTTTGAGATTAAGGAAGGACAGAGATGCACAGTGGGAATTTATAGGTCTACAATTTTTTCAAATTGCAGCCCAATAATTTTTCTATAAATGCAATATTTATAAGAACATACTTTTCATGTAGTTGATACAATCTGTTACCAAAATATAAACACTCATTATCACATAAAAGCAATTATCTAGCATTTTTACAAGATTTTTTTTTATTATTTAAACAAGTTTCATATGAAATCTTTTGAACGTTAAGGTTAGCAACTTCAATCACATGCTAGGCCATCACAACCTATCCAACACAGATCTCTTTTCAAATATTAATAGTATACCAGTATTAATTAGTAGTCATTGAGCATCCTCTCTTCAGGGAGGAGGTATAATTAACTTCAACCCCCTTCCACAACAGTCCCTTCTTCCTATCGGACCAACAGTATGGTGGCATTCGAATATGAAAATTACATAATACTAGGTTAATAAAGTATGTTTTAAGTGATTTTTGAGAGTGCTGAGTTTAAATATTTGGTCTGTTTTTTCCAAAATTTGAATTGTTGGAAGATTACCATTTTATATTTGGCTGTGAATGGTACAGTTTCTTAGAGTTAACATTAGAAAACATTATATCTGAAAAATATAAGATAAATTTTTAATTCCTGTCTACCTGACTATTGAATTCATACCATCTGACCATTGAATTTGTGCCATTTTGTACCATCTGAGTATTATGATAAACATGACGATGGTAGGTTGAAATAACCAAACTCTTTATATGGTTTTCATTTTAATATTCGTTATATTATAGTACAGTAGAACCTCCATTATCCGGACCTCTATTATCCGGATTTTCGATTATCCGGATTGTTCAAAATAAACAAAAATTTTACGAATTTGCTGATTTGCACTTGGCGAATTACGACACTGTTTATGTACGTGATGGAATGCATAACTTTTTTTGTTTCAACAACGTCTCACCCAGCACAGTGGTCGTAAACTCTTAAATATATTTTACGTAGTAATAAAAATATAACTTGACATACGTATTTATAAATAATTTATATTCAAATTACATCATTTCTATGACCAAGGGCGGCGTAAGGCATGGACGACGTGGGCCACCGCCTATGCCTCGCGGTCCGAAGGGCCTCGCGCCTCGAAGGTTTATGCATTACTTAAAAGCCGCGAACGCGACGAAAAAATTTTACTCGTCATAAAACGATAAATAGTTTGTCAAATTTTTATTCATAAAAATGCAGTTTCAACTGCTTTTTATTTTATAAAATCCGTCTTCTTGCGCCACCAGAGGGCCTTTTAAACAATAGGTAGTCTGTTAGCGTTGGTCAGTAGTAGTCCAAATTCAATACGAACGTTTGTTTCTTGAAAATTTGACCACGATTTAAATACAGTATTTACTTTTAATATCACCGATATGTCATCGAAAAGAAAACGTGTTGTATTATCATTAAAAGACAAATTGAAGTATTTGTTTCGATTATCCGGATTTTTCCTTATCCGGACTACCTTCATCCCCAATTAGTCCGGATAATCGAGGTTCTACTGTATTTGATTTACATAACTACAATGGTTATCTTATGTAAGGGTTTATCACACCAAGTAACCAGTCTAACATATTTTTAAAATTGTTTATTTCTCTACAGTACACAATTTAAAGAATTTTTTAAATGTATTAGATTGGACACTTGGTGTGATAAACTATTATGTAAAATAACCTTTGTAAATATAAATCAAATACTATACTATATAATACAAAAGATAGAGGTATGAAATAATCTTAATTTTTATCTTTGCTGTTGTTATTTTTTGCCCGAGCAACACTGGGCTCATCTGCCAGTATATAATAAATTTATTATCAAAAGCATTTTCCTTTAGATGTTTAATATTCTTTCCATTAGCATAGTATGTGGTTTAATGTTTTTATATTCTATTAATTTGCATTTTATAATTGTCTGTCAGCTTCTAGAAATTATATATAATTGCATTTATTTATAACAATATATTAAATTGTGATTTGATATTTTAAAAGTAATTTATTTTCATTTCTAGTTCCTGGTGAAAAGGTAAAGAATGGAGCTTTAAAAGTCTTAAGAGCAGAAATGCAAAAAGAATATCTGAATAAGAAATTAGATGGTTACTGTTTATATTTGTAAGTATTATTTTAATAAGTAACTTGTTAATTCTCAATTAAATTGTTTTGTTGTTATAAGAATATAGTTATTTATTTTATTATAATAATTTGAATCAATAAGTCATTATATACAAGGTCAATGTAATTTCCAGATTAATAAATAATAATTTTATTTAAGCTTTATGTTGTTTCTTTTATTAAACATCTTCAATCATGTACTTGAGCTTTGTACTTTCTTAGTGTTGTAATTGGGCTACTTTGCCACTACTATTAATAATTAAATTAATATTTATTAAATAATTTAGAATATTTGTTCAGTTTAATTAATTTATGTCTATCTCAAATATTTTCTTTATTCTTCAGTTTGTCTTATTTGTCTAATGTTACACCCTTCAATTTCAGCAAATGTTTAAAACTTATATATTCATAATTTTCAAATCTATAAATTTATTTTTAAGTTTGTATTCATTCCTGAAGTTTTGACTAATAATAGTTTATCATTTTACTGAAACACAGTAATTATATTTTTGAAAAAATACAGACAAATATGTCATTTAAAAGTTTGAAATGATCGTATTTAAATGAAACTTAAATGTATTCTTCATGGAATTGAGGATAAATTACAAAGGATCAAAAGCACTTATCAAAGAAATAAGTAAACAATCTTAAATGTGTGTTTATAAACAAGAATATTATTATTTATGCTTCTAAACGTTTTTAAGATTATTTCTCTTTAGAATTCATTTATGGATAATTTTATTAAAATTTAATATTGTTTTTATCTTTAGGCTCATTTTAGAATTAAATCTATGTAGTTCAAAATGTTAAAATACATTACCGTAAATAAATGATTTATGAATGTACTATTATGAATGTAAAATTACTATTATAAAATTAACTCTAAATTATATTAAAATTTCAGATATGGGATTGTTCTGAAGAGATTGCAATTACACAAACAAGCTGTTGATATTCTTACAGAAGCAATTCACAAAGAACCACTCCATTGGGGAGCTTGGTTAGAACTGGCTGCTCTAATAACAGATAAAGACATGGTATGTATCTTGTTAAGTAAAGAAATAAACACATACAACATACCAGCATACTTGAAATTAACATATTTTTATTAACTTTTTCATCTGTTTATAACACATCTTCAGGTATATATTGCAAAACAAAATGGACATATTAAAATTGAATAAGCTTTTACGAACAACTTAAATTGAACTTGTTAAGTTGTTCATAAAAGTTTAAGTATGCTGGTATAGGTATGTTGTGTGTGTTTATTATATTCCAGTATTGAAAAGTTATTGAGTAAAGAAATTATCATTACATAGAAAATAAAATAAATATTGATCTTAAATGATCCTAAATAATTTAAATTTATTAATTTCTTTCAATTAGTTTTCCTCTAAACTTTGTGTAATTTTCTTTGATGTTGTTAAAAGTCTTGTCTGCACTCTTGACATTTCTACTAGTTTTAAAATAAAATTTAAACTAGTTTTTACTATGAAGCTGTTTGAAAATTATGCATTAATAATTTGTGTATGTTTTTCTTCAGCTCTCAGTTCTCACACTACCAGACCACTGGATTAAAGAATTTTTTCTGGCTCATGCTTATTTAGAATTACAGTTAAATGAAGAAGCATTATCAATTTATACACATCTCCAGGAAATAGGTTTTGCTGCCAGTACTTATATAATGGCACAGATTGCAATTGCATATCATAATATGAGAGGTAATACTAACACAAGAATAAAATTTGATTTTTAAAATAAATTCAGACTAAATGTATACATTTATATATTTCAGACGTTGATCAAGCGATTGAATGTTTTCAGTCGCTACAAAAAATAGATCCGTTCAGACTGGATAACATGGATATTTATTCTAATCTTCTTTATGTCAAGGTGATTATGACTTAAGTTTTTCATTTTTATTATTTCTATATATGTTTAGGAAGAAGGGCAAAGTGAAACAGAGGTGCAAAAACATTACGCTTTTGTAGGAAATAGAAATAAAGATTACAATTGACTGAGGAGCTCATGAATTATATGAATAATGTAAAAGAAGCAAATCAAATGTATAGTATCATGCCATTATCTTATGCCAGGCTGCAATTTTTAATCACCTTTTAATTTGAAAAAAAACACTTGACTTCCAGTCCACTGAAAGTTTGTATATAGTTAATTTGGATCTCTAATCTCTAAGCTTTCCATATATTGTCTTGATTTTTATCTATCTAACTCCATTCTCGAGATTAACAAAGGATAGACGAACAACAATAGGAATGTATAAGTGCAATCTGAAAATTGCAGCTTGACAACTAATAATAGCTTTTCAAAATTCATCTAACATACAAACCATTATCAAACTTGGAATTTTGATACAGAAATGATATATTTTCATTCATTTTAGCATAAATTATATATTTATAGAATTTTTTATAAGAAGAAACTGGCTGTGAGAAAGTGATATTATATTTTATTTTATACAGATGCCAATTTTAATTTTTATATCCTCTATAATGAATATTTAATCCAACTGCTGAAGAATGATGAGTCAAAATGCATTTGTAAAGGAATAAAAATTCCAAGCTTGATGATGGTTTTGATGTTGATCAGTTTTGGAAAAGTTATCATCACAGTTGCTCTCATCATGCTATAAAAATAAAAATATTTTAAAAATTACCAAAGTAGGGAGATGGTTTTCTTTTCATTCAAGTAATAAAAGTACTTTTTTCTATATATTTTCGTTTCAAATTTAATAAGACTTTTGAAAAGATATATTTGTTGCTTTTTGACTATTTATCATCATCACCAATACAGTTAAGAATAAATTTTAAATATTTGTTTAATAATTTTCAGGAAATGAGAATGGAATTATCTTATCTTGCACACCATACTTCAGAAATTGAAAAGTATAGAGTTGAAACTTGTTGTGTGATTGGTACATTTCTTAAAAATTTATATAAAATATGAAATTTTATATTTTTTAATGTTTATGTAGTTAATTTCTCATTCCAGGAAACTTTTACAGTTTAAGATCTCAACACGAGAAAGCAGTTTTATATTTTCAGAGAGCATTGAGGTTAAATCCCAATTATCTTTCTGCATGGACATTAATGGGGCATGAATATATGGAAATGAAAAATACATCCGCAGCCATTCAGTCATATAGACAAGCAATTGGTTAGTTACTTTTAATAATAAGTTAATTTTAGTAAAAACGATTAATTAACATTGATTATTTTTGCAGAAGTTAACAGAAGAGATTACAGAGCATGGTATGGTCTTGGACAAACCTATGAAATTCTAAAAATGTCTTTTTATTGCTTGTACTATTATAGACAAGCACAACAACTTAGGTAAAAGATAAAAAATAAAATAAACTTTTTGGAATGAATATAATTTATAAAATCCTTTTTTATTAACATTACTAGACCTAACGATTCTCGAATGATGGTTGCTCTTGGTGAGGCATACGAAAAATTAGAGAAGCTCCAAGAAGCCAAAAAATGTTTCTGGAAAGCTCATGCTGTCGGAGATGTTGAAGGAATTGCATTAATTAAACTAGCAAAGTGAGTTTTTAATAAGTTTTAATACTTTTATAACTTATATCGTATCAAACGAAAATGAAAAATCTGTGGCTTGAAATAACCATATTCCAAAAAATTAGATTATTTTTATGATTGGTTTACATTGATACGTATTTGATTTTCTCATGTAGTTTTCAGCTTTGCTGAATATGACTTTTATGTTTTAATGAAGAAAACTTATATTAGAATTATCCAGTATATCATAGTTCATATTGCCAACAAAATAGAATTTTATATAATTATCTCTGGATTATTACTTTGGTTTTTCCTACAACTGTTTAGTATCATCAGAACTTTATTGAGTAGACATATGTTTATTTTGTAATACCAGTAGAGCATTGTTTATCCGAATCAATTGGGGACTGAGGTTGTTCAGATAACTTATTTTTCGGATAACCAATTATGTACGAAAAAATATATTAACCTATCCCGTGTTGAAATTTTTCTCCATTGCATGTCGTTTCGCATTGAATTTTCGTTTATGTTAAGCTACCATATACTTTTTAAAATAATAATCATGGCTATTGTATCATTAAAAATTATTTCTTTATTTCTTACAAACAAAATAAATATATTGAAAAATATAAAAATCAAAAAATATATATTTTAGAAGATGATCTAGTATCAAAAACATTCGATTCAGCACGACACAGTCCTCAGAAAAACACCATACAAAAATGCCAATGCTACCAGCTAAAACACACACACCAACAAAAAAATATTGGAGTAGCCCAAGATATAGCCAAAGATTGCAGCGCTACAGAACTAGCGAGAATTTAAATTTGCAAACTGGAATGCTTTCGGATAAACAACACTCTACTGTATAAGATATAATTCACAATGATTAGAAATTTAACCAAAGATTTTCTTGTATTTGGCAAGAACTATGCTTGCTTTCTGATAATTGTGACTGGTTTCAGTAACTTTGTAAATATTTGTGCAAACTGAAATTTTCCTCCTCAGCCTATGAGTTATAGTAAATTTCCTCAAGTAACATCTACTATCTTTAGTTTTTGAAGAGAAAATTCTCTCATAAGATGCATAATGGATCTCTTTCTCTCTCTTGTACAGTCACCAAGGCTATTTGAAAATTTATATCTAAACAGTAGTAGGAAATAATTGTACATTTTCAAATCAGATAAAAACAGTTCAGAAGTTTTTAATTTTAAAAAATTAAATTTTACTTTCAGACTATATGAGAAACTTGGAGAAGAAAATGAAGCGGCAGCAGCTTATACAGATTACATTAGAGATGCCGAAGAGAGAGGCGTCAGTATTAAAAATTTCTGGAATGTTAGTTTGTATTGGATTTGAATTTTAAACATTGAAAAGGTTTCTATTCTGTTCTTTCAGATAATGGATAGAGACGAACAATGTCACGCTTACAGGTATCTTGCTAATTATTACTTAACACATCATCGCCTAGAAGAAGCTTACGAGAATGCTCAGAAATGTTCAGAATATAATGAGGTTATTATATTAACTATTTTTATAATAATTAACATGACAATGTTAAACTTATTATTATTTTGTTTAGACACGAGAGGAAGCAAAGATGCTCTTACATCAGATTGCACAGTTGAGGACAATACATGATAATGAAATCATGCAAGTGAGTATATTTTTGAATTATTTTTGCCTTCTGTTTTAATAGTTTTAAATTTCTTCCTATTGATAGTTGATAATTGATAATTAGTAAAAAACTAACAGGAGTGAAATATCGTATTCTATTGAATCTTTCAGGAAAGATGAGGCATAGTATAGCTTCCTTAATATTATGTTGATTCAGTACACTGTTACATTTTAAAAAGAAATCAAGTGTTCAAGTCAATATTAGAAAACAGATTATTGAAAAACAATTTTTCTTATTCAGAAATGTGTACTAGAAAGAGGTTAATCCCAATAAATAATGGATATTTATGACAATTCATCTCCCATTACATACTGAGATGCCATAAAAATAAACGCAAGATGTTCATGTTGCTGTAACTGCACAGCAATATGAACAGTTACAAACCATAGTAGCACAAGATTAGCAGGAGAACAAAAGATATTTAATGGAATTCAGTATAATTATATGAATACCTATAACATGTATTTTTGCAGATTGTCTGGCATGCTGGTTTATCCAGGGGAATGCCAGCATGCCAGTTTATGAGGTTATACACAGTAGTCCACAACATAGATGTCAATATTCTCTATTATTGTTTCTTACCATATATCCTTTATATACCCATTGAAAACAAGTCGTTGATGCTAAGAGAAAGCTCATTTTAAAATTCTGTCCTTTGAAATACACACTCAAAAATATTATGTTTGCTAACAATTTTCACCTGATGAATGCACGTGATATGTTGTGACCTTGAACATTCCAGGATGATGAACATACTGTACACATTCTTGTTTTCCAAGTTTTTTCTACTGTATTTCTTATGGCATATTCTTTTGGTTAAGTACAGTCGACCCCCCTATAATTACGATTCCTAAAACTACGAAAAAATTGTGACCGGTATCCGTAAAAAACAGTAAAAATTCCCTATAATTACCTCAAACGTCATCGGGCAGCTGAACTACTTTCCCGCCGTCCGTAGCGCCAACTACGGAGAGATTTCTATCGTCTGGACAGTATTATATAAATTAGGTACTGTACATATAATTATATATTAATTTATTGTAACTTTGTTATAATTAAATATATAATTTCCGCCGTCTAGCGTGGCGTCACGCTACGGAGATTTTTACGCTAACTATCGTCTGTAGAGTATGTAAATTAGGTACCGTAAGTCTAATACAGTACTGTAATTTTATACATTTCTTGTGAAAGAAACATTTCTTATTCAACGGCGATTAAAATTATTTATATTAATGATGTCTCCGAAGTTCAAGGAACTATTCGCAGAAAAATAAGTTATTAGAAATCGGCGGCGGTTTGCTGAGCTGTTCCGCGACAAAAACAATGTTGAGCAATGGCGATGTCGAATGGTGACACTCGGTAAGTAATCCTACAATTTTTTGTTTATAGCGTAGTTTATACGGATTATTCCCAAAAAAAAATATACGTATTTTGGAAATGTTGAGTCGGATTAGTCTAGAATCGATTAATTTTATGGAGGAAAACCTTTCAATCAGCTGTAGTCTGTAAACTTGACACGTGTCGGGTTGTGATTGGAAGGATTCGTAAGAAATCGGATTCCTAAAAAATGGAACGTATCTCTATCTTATAGGGGGGTCGACTGTAATATAATTCCCGACTCTGGATGAAAAAAATTCAATTTTAAATTTTTTCGGCATATAGAGTTATTAATGTTGTTGTTAAATAATTTAAAGTTTAGTTCTTTTAATTTATTGTGGTACCGTTTATGGTGCTAAATATAATGAAAGATGGTGCACAGAATTTTAAAATGAGTTTTAAATGCAACATTTTGAGTACATTATCCAATGAAAATTTTGTATCTATCTCTAGTTAGCAGTATCCTTCAGCTTTCAAATAAAGCTGAAGACAATGGTATACTGTAGCTTTTCATAACTTGTAAAATTACAGGTTATGAAAAGTTAATCCATATTTGTGACATTTTTGGGTAGCTAAAATAAGACTTAGCTTAGTCTTTTGCATTTTGTGGAGCGTTTTGACTGACAATTGTAACTACGCTGTTAACCAAATTATTTCTTTTGATGAATCAGTCAATCTAATCATTTGATATGTTGAAATCTCCTTGTAAACCCCATATCCTTGAAAATATTTAATGCCTGAAGTTTAATCCATGCATGAGATATGAGAACTCTGTTATCCTTGATAAATTTTAAAAGTTGTTCCTCCTGTTCCAGAAATCAAGCCTTTCTGTTTTTGATTCCTCATTGTTGGAAGTGTTGTTCTCATTTTTTCTATTCCAATCTTGCACACATTGGTGAGGAATTTTAAATTCTTTTGCAGTCACAGAAATGTTACCTTGAAAATACCTGTTTTAAATGCAATAGTATAGCTTCTCTTTACAAGGTTTCCATATTCTTACTGTAGTCTCAAACTGTTAAAGAATCTGCAATCTGATCTCATTGATAAACATCAGTTTTTACTAAAAACCAAAACTGACGTTTCCAAGACGAAAAAGTGTTTTCTACATAGGTATGGTAAGAGACATCTTTGTAGGTCAAAAAAAGAAAGTGTAAATTACTGTACTGTCACATTCTGGCAAGTCATAAACAATATCCATTCTGTTCAAAATGTAAATGTGACTGTATTTACATTTTTAAGAAATTTAACAAATGCATGTCACTTTCTCCCTCTGAAATTTAGCCTACTATACATTTTATTTTTTGGTTGCAGTTTAATCAACATGCTGGTAAAAAAACCTGCCAAAATATGGTAGTTAATATAAAATTTTTATTTTACAGGTCGAAGATATAAACAAACTTCCTATTGCCCCATCTCAGTTTTGCTCTCAGGCAACAAACACTCCAGTAACTCGCCTCTCCTTCACTCCTGATAACGAAACCCTGAGATGATTATTGGACACATTCACAGACAACAAAAATTAAAATACAAAATCTTTATGTTCAATACTGTACAGAATCATGTATCCATTACATCTTTTCCAATGGTAAGATATTAAATAATTTGAAAGTATTATAAATAATCCGTTGCACTCCTTTCAGTAACCAGAGACGGGCAAACATGATCTGCATTAGATGAGGTCTCGGTTCCTGTAAAAAAAGAATTAATTATGTTCCACCATCGAAGTATATGCATTAATCATCACATACAAAAAATAGCTAGTGATCAATTGGCTGTAAATATTCTGGGTTAATGCTTCCTGATGTAGCCCAAGTTTGGTTGATTGCACAGACTTTGTAAACTTATGAAACAGAATCAGAAATTAGGTTTAAAAATATATGCTTTATTAGTATTGGTAATGCAATACTTTGGGCTACATTACACTGAATGCAACAAATTATTGCCGCAGCCATTTAGTAATTTTAATTTTTTTTCTAAGATTCTCATTTAATTCCTCATCATACATGCACAAAACAAATTAAAATTTATACTTACTGTTAATATATGAATTCTACTATAATACATACTTAAATCTCTAACGAGATTTATTAAAAAATGGCAAACCTAAAAATTCATTTGTAAAATTAAACTTTGACAAGCAAATGTTAATTTATATTGAAAAATAATCCATACTTTATGTACAGGTATTTCCAATTTCAATGTGCTACTTTCCAATTCTTCAAAAATCACAGATGTAACTTGTGGAAAAACAAATATGTAATTGAAGAGAAGATTCCATTCTTCCTAAAAAAAATTTGAAATATTAAAATATTTTAATATTTCAAGAGAAGTGAAAATCTGTATTATACTTACTTCCAATGTTAGCAATGAAAAATTAACATTTTCAATTGGAGGAAGAGCTGGATATTGACCTAAAAATACAGTTTTAAAACTTAATATCATATTTACATGAACAGAAAATTCCAAGGATTAATTCACTTATTAAAATAGTTTTGATCATACAAATCAGTTCAAATCCTTTTTAATATTCCAGCAAGAGACAGATGGTTAACAACTTTAAAAATCAATGATATATTAAAAAACACATATGCAATGTACACTTGATGTCAGGTCAACACCAAATGTACTTATATACAAAGTACAAAGTTGCACCCCACAGAAAACCCATTGCGACCCATAGGTTGGGAACCCATGGTATACTGAATAAAATCTCTAACACTGGAAAAATTCAAGGCATGGACATTTAGGATATTATCACCAGCATCCCTCCCACACAGCTTCCTTCAGAAAGCATTAGAAATTATAGCAATTTCTAAATTCCTAGTTACAGTACTTTCCACCCACCATGATGTATATAGAACTTTGCCCACGGAGGTTTTGCAAGCAAACCCATTTATGTTTAATATTTCAACAACCATAGTAATTGTTATATAACACCTACCGCTGAGAATCAAATGAACTATTTTCAATTTGATCAATTTTCTGGAACGTTTACAATTGTTCTATAATCGAACCAATATGCAATAACAAATTCAAATTTAAAACCGTTCGAAGATTTGGTTAAAAACTCGAAATATATAAAAATATTTATAACAATGTCATACACCTAAGTACTCAATGAAGATTAAACATTGTTGAAAACAAAAAGTCACATCTAAAATAGTACAGTAAAAGCTGTTCTTCTGGTTAAGACTTAATGCTCTCCCCGTGGGGAATTTCGAAAAATCCCTTCTTAGTGTGCGTTTCCATGACGTACCCTAACTGTGTACCAAATTTCATCTCTAGGTTCAGCGGTTTGCTCTGGGCGATGATGAATCAGTGACTCAGTCAGTCAGGACAAGTAATTTTATATATTTAGATTAATTGATTTCTCCAATATATGCACAAGACTTTATAACAGATGTTATATTCTGTTATTCTATTAACTTTTTAGTCAATCCAAACTGTTTTAAACAAGGGGCTACAGGGATTTATTTTTAAAGTTCCATACACAAACAAATTGTCATTTTTCAAAATACTTATAATGACAAATATATCTTATCATACCATCCACATGTTAATAAAATATTTTTGAGTTCTTCTGGATCCATTGCTAGTTTTAAGTAAAGAAAAAGATCCAGGTCAAAGTACAATAGTCTTTGTTAACTGAATATTACTTTCCAATATTCTCTTTTATCAAGAGCAACAGATATAATGTTTACAAAATATTAGTGGATACATTATGACAAGGAAGCGAGAGAACAATACAAGTAAATGCTAGTTAATCTACTTCTTAGCTAATTAATCTTATAGTATAATCAAGAACGGTTGATAAGATGATAATAAGCACAGAGCCCAAACGGTTAGGAGTTGAAAGTTGAAATTTGGTACACAGTTAGGGTAAGTCACGCGAATGTACACTAAGAAGGGATTAAGGCTTACCGTGAAGAACTCGGCTTCTATTATACTATTTTAGATGAGGTTTTTTGCATTTTTCATTGCGTTTTAATAGGGTATGCCATGAGAATGCACATTAAGAAGGGATTTTTCGAAATTCCCACCACGAGGAAGAGGGTTAAAAATTACCCCGAAGAACTCGGCTTCTACTTGTACTATTTTAGATGCCCTTCTTGCATTTATGCGGGAAATTGAACATATTTTTAGACCCTTCTAAAAATTCTCAATAATACTTAGTGTTCCATTGTATATAAAGTTGCATGCGCATAAGTTCACTTTATTCATCTTAATGTTCAATTTTATGTTCAAATTTATATTTATGAATGATTCTGGAAGATCCAGCCTATTTTTCAAATTTATTAAACCTGAAGAAGAACCCAGAAAGAGTTATGCAAACGTTTATTACTTATCACTTATTTATCACCGCACTGGTTAAGGGTTGCAGTGAGTCTTATTTATCGTTATACCATTTGTGGTAAGCAGATATCTAAAATTTTCTAATTAGTCTTGGAAGAGGGGGGACCTAATTCTTGCGCTCGGATCAACTATAATCTAATAATCTTAATCTTTGCTATTGTTTCTTTTTGCCTGAGCAACACCAGGCTCATCTGCTAGTTTACAGATAAGTTGATGGCATAACTGCTTAACTTTAGTCTATCTTGTATTGAAATTAATTAATTTGACTTACACAATTTTCTAAAATAATAATTAGTTGATATATTGCATAACATCTTAGAGATCGTGATATTGTTTACTTGTAAATGTGTACATATTCCAAACTTAATCTGATATTTGCTGTAAACAAAAGCAAATATAACAGTTTGTACTACATTTTCCTGATATTGCTGAACTAAAGTAATATTTTAATCTACAACTTTCATTCAGCTTACAAAATATAAACCCTACTCATGCATTTTTCTAAATCCTTCTAAGATTAATTAATTAAATTATGGATGCAAACAGAATTAATGAAACTCTAATGAAGCATAATATCATTTTGTTTAACAAACCGTAAATAGAATTTAATTTTTCAAAGTTACTCGACGAAAACACACATTTTATTTGATGTCCTATCAGCTTTTAGCCGATCTTTATGTTGCTGTACAGAATCGATCAAAGTGGTCTTTAATTCACAAAATTAATCTTGTGTTTAAGTGAATTAAAGCTACCTTATGATCAGTTCTGTCAGAAGTAAAGACAAAAAGCATACACTTACCGGCATTCACTTTGTTTTCAAACTGCCAAAATAACATAGAGAGACGAGCGTAATTATATTGGAGGAACGTGCCCGTTTTCTCTACTACAGATATTCCTTTGTCTTCAGAGAACCTTATTTTCACCTAAATTGTATAAAATGAAAAAAATTTAAATCTTTGGACGAACTTCTTCAAATTTTTAATTCTCTAACTTACAGGGATCGAAGGATTTAACGCGAGCATCTCAAATTTCAAAACCGTATCCGATAAAGTATTTAAATATTCTTTTTTCCACTGTTGACCTGAAAATATTTTTGTAGAGAGAGATTAATGTCATAAGAGTTTACAGCAATTTTACATCAACAATAAAAAAACATCAGATAGTATCGTGTGTAAAATACTACGTCATTAAATTTTAGTTTCATCCTGAGAAATTTAGAATTAATACAACTGTAACATTGTTTCTGAACAATATTCATATAACATTCTAAAAGAAAATTTAATTGCCTTAATTATACATTTTGACTTTTTTTACACTCTGAGGTTTTGAATAAGTAATCATATTATCATTACAGTCAAACCTTGGAGTTTACAGTACTTAGAATGCTAATTTACATGTATATTTGGAAATACAGATGGGATCTGGCCCCAATTAATCCAAAGTTCTGACACTTCACTGTATATATGAAAAACAAATTAAATTTTTTATAAATTCTACATTTATATTGTCATTAAGGGATAACCAAAAGGTCGCACATGATGGTGGTTTAACCCACATGATGTCGAAATTGAGATAACACTGCTGCAATTTCACGTATTAAATATACTGTCTCTGAATAGAATGAAAGATTCTCAGGGTTCTGGTTAAGTATTGACAGAAATAAAACATGTATAACAATATGAAAACTAGCACGTAGAGCCAAACCAACTCCCGTATAACATCAGTAGTTGGTTTGGCTCTATAGTAACAAATCGAGTTTCTGAAGATGTTCATATTCATAAACTAGCACATAATTGCAATTAAAAAATAGGATTAGAACAGTGTTCTAATCCTGCTCCACATTTCAAATGTTCCATCTGATGCACAAGAATTCTATTATCTCAAAGGGCCACACAAAAAATAAAGGTGGCTCAGAGGTACGTTCAGTATTCATCAAATGTCGAGCAGTGTGAACAATTCAGTATTTGGTAAGCTAATTAACCATTTCCAATTCCTTGTCGGTATATTCTGCCAAAACAAAGGGGACGAATCTCGGACAAACAATTGTAATTACCACAACAAGCAAACGCTCGGCAAATAATTGTGTGCATACATACATACATGCTTGCCCCATGATAAACACATTGGAATTGGTGAATATGGATTGTATGGAGCCACCTTAACAAAAGTATTTGTGAGTAAAAATTGTTAAGTTCTGTTGAATTTTGACATTAAAAGATAGATTTTATGAATATCATTTTGTGTTAAGAAGCACTAATTGATTTAAATGAAACATAATTATTCTCAATTTTTTGTAAATGGTGCCATACATTGTTACATTTACATTATTAATTATGCATTAGTTAATCCAAAAACATCTGATTTAGACTCACTGACTATTTCTTCTCCATATTTATGAACCAGTGACTTTTCAAATTCGTCCTTCAGGCGACTGAAAGATTTTGTATGCAATCACATTCAGTTAATGTTTCTTTGCTATAAATATTGTTTTAAAATACTCACTTTGTATAATTTTCCATTTGTATTGGCGCGTGTGGAAAAAGTATAGGTCCATGGGTAACGATCGTCTAGAATACGTTCGGTTATGGAATATTTCATTTAAATTTTCTTTACTTTCAACATAATGTTTATATCTTACTTGACGTTTGGGCCCTTTGCTGCATAACATATCCACCATAATGGATAATTGCTGTTGAAAATAGGATCTGTTACTCGGTACGACGTGAATCAAAATGTCCGGCTCCTACAAACAAAAAATAAAAAAAATTAGCTTTTGTGCAGAAAATAATAAATTTATGGCTTAATTTATACATAAAAAACTTACATTGACGTGTTTGTCAAATATGTGTTGTAATTTTATGCACCACTTAAACATTTGCTTCCAAGATTCGGAATGACCTGAAATTTGTATTAATGAATATTTACATTTGCAAAAAGCAAAGAAAATGAGTTAATCGTCAATTAATTTAATGCAATATCCTGTTTTTTGAATGCAACGATTTGCTTTCACAGTCTTACATTCCTAAATTTTTGTGATTCATTTTATGTTTAAGCATTTCTTTTATATCAATAACACAAAACCAAATATTAATTTATTAATTAGTTTTCTTATATGTTACCATTTGAATGCCATAGCTTGCTGCCAAATCAGAACCGATACCTCTTATCGGTGCTTTTTTTTTCTAAAAATTTGCTGCCAGCACACGTAAAGTGTTGTTTTTAATGTAAACTGTCGGTACATATCAGCTACTGATACTTTCTGACCAAATAATGGCTCCATTTCTGGTGATAAATTCTGTTACCATTCTTTTTATGGTACTTAGAGATTTAAGTACCATATTTTTTACATTATAAGATGAACCCATTGTATCAGACGCACCACATTTTTTGAGGGAAAAAATGTTATTTGCAGTATAAGATGAATATTAAGTTCCAGATAAATTAACACAAAAATAGTTGTTTGTAATAAATATCAAATACTGTATCTCTCTTAATAAGTTATTGCTTATTCAAATTATTATAATTTTGTTTACAAAATGACTGTACTTACTGGAAATAAAACGGATGTTTTTGTCGTATCCTTTAGATCCAATAGGAATCTTACGATCTTCTAGAAATTTTGAGGCATTCAGAATGAAGTCTATTTCGGCTCCGTCTTTCGACGGCTCCAAATAATGCGACGCACGTAAACGCTTCGTGATCACATCTTCGGCTTCGTTTGTTTTACATATCTCCGTACATTTTATGTAATTTACTTTGTTATCCATCTGAATATCTTCGGCACCAACAATTGCAAAATACACTTTACATCTGAAATTCAAATTAATCATCGTCTATATGTAAATTGTACTATTTCTGCGCAATTTTATAAACGATGCATAAAATTCCAAAATAAGTAAGTCTCGTAAACATAAACAATTAACTAATTATGACATAGAAGAAATACATTACAGCCGAAATAAAGAGGAAAATCAAGAAAATTTTAAAAATGTAAATGTAATTTGATTTAGAATTATTAGTTTCATTTAAAAAATATCTAGAAAAATACATAATTTAATTTACCTGTTGTTGTTAATTACAGTAGATATATACTGTCCTATCAGATTAGTTCTCAGATGCCTCCATTCTCGAAGTCCCAACTCGTCGTCTTCGAGCACGACGTTAACCAAAACTGTTTTGAATTTAGTTTTGCAATATCTTCCGTAATCTTTTGTTTTTGTCACGTGGCTGAGAATGTTTCTGAAAGCGGCACCGCGATCGAGAAACAACTGAAGTCGACAGGACGGCAAGAGTTTACAGTTGTTAATTGGAATTTGCCAATTCCCACTCTTGCGTGGCAACGCTTCGCCAATCTGCAAAAGTTTTTTCAAACTGTGTGAAAATATAAATTATAATTATGTGTCTAAACAAAAATTTCAGTTGTAATGATTTTTTTTTTCCATGTTTATTCATCTAAATTCTATTTTCAAAAGATTTTTTAACAGAGATGAAATTTAAAATTTATAAAATGATAAATTTAATCCCTTATAATTTGAGACAGGTTGTTTGTTTCAAATTATCAAGACTATACTGCATTACTAAATCTTTTACCAAGCTCCTATATATGTACTGTACAGTACATATATAAGAGCTTGGTATATGTCACAGTTCAAGATGAAAGACACAAATAAATAAAACTGTAACCAAAATAACATAAAGAATAATTTTTAACTATAACAAATTAATGAAAAAAATCAAACGTTTTGTATTGGTACAATCAAAAAGCAGTCTTCTCTAGTCCCAATGTAAATCTTGAATGTCCGAATGCTCCGAATGTTCTATGAATTCAAATGTTAACTCTGTTGGAGCCCAGAATTTTAAAAATTGTTCATTCGAAAGGAAATTTCCATTATGCTTCCTCTTTAAGATGTCAACGTTAGAACAATATACATTTTCATCCAATAATGTGGATGATTTCGTTAGAAGTACAGAGTCCTGTGTTAAAATGATTTTGACCTCAAAGGTAACTGGTAAAACACTTGCATATTATTTGGTAGGATACAAAGTAACAGCATAAATTTTTGGAATGTCCTGGTTACTAGATTGGAATATAAACCGATACAAGATTTTCAGGTTGATATTGTGTGTGCTGGTGAGCATTGTAACACCATATGTTGTGATCCTGGCCACCAGTGTTTGAATCTGGGCCAAAAGTGTAGATAGATATGGTGTAGTCACCAAATGTCCCTGGGGTTAGTGGCAGGAGGAATTCCATGGAGGCTGCAGCATATCAGCTAGGGAGAAAGAATGAATGGTGAATATCCAGTCATCTCTAGACAAAGGGCAATACCTGGTCTCATCAACAATAGATAATGTCATAGGTACAATACATGGTCATCATGTCAGCCAATGTCTGATTGAATCTTTCCAAGAGGTCTGGGGGTAATAGGCAGTCATCTTTTGATGTGTACCAAAAATAAAGAGCACTTTCTGGACTATCTGAGAAAAAAACAGTTACCCTCAATCACACTAATCAGTTTCTTTGAAACAGGATAACCCCAATGTCAACAGATGTACAATTGGCTGTAGCTTGGGTAATGTCATAGCAACAGCACTTATTACCTTATGACAACATAGGAAAATGTCCCAAGAAATCAATGCCAATATCAAAAGGTTCTCAGTAGAGGAATTAGTGATTGCCCAGCCAATACTTGTGGGAGAAGTTTTTGACATTGACATTCTCAGCACACTTTGATATATTGTATGGTAGCAACTCATTCCTCTTAGGTAGTGGTTGAGTGCAATAAATTCTGGCTTAACTGAGGTGTCCAGCTGTCAAGTCATTGTGATAGAATTCAAAATGGAATGGCAGAAATATTGTGGAAAAACAAGAGGCCAAAGAGATCATTTAGATCAGTGTTTCTGAACAGGGGCAATATCACCCCATGTGGGCGTTTTTCCATGTTGAGGGGGGCGATTAGTAACAATTTATATTTTGTGGGCGAAAAACAATTTTCTGGGCAATATAGTAAAACAATATATTAAGAATAATTAGATATTTTATTCGTTATATCATACAATAATTAAACAAATAACATTATACTAGTCACTAGTCTATTCAATGCAGAACGAATTTGGGGTTAGTCTTGGCCTTCGGCATTGGAATTTTGTAATGAAGGGGCTATACTACATAACGGTTTTAACGAAGGGGGCGATACTATAACAGTTTTACTGAAGGGGCAACGATTTGTTAGAGTTTGAGAAACACTGATTTAGATCATGGTTTATTGATAAAGAATTCTACCAAACACTTGATAATATTAAAGTAGATAGTATCTTTGGTTAATTTATGGATAGCTTTATCAACCTGTTGCTGCTCCCTGCAGTTAACTGAACTTGTGATGGTATTCATGTCCTTGGTTGAGGGGGTTATGAGAAAGAACATTGTATCTAAATGTTTTTTTCATATAATATACAGTACTTATGTCATACTTCTGGAGATTGAATCAATTTGTCTACTGTGCTCTAAGTCGAAGAGACTTGGCTAATGAATGTAGCAAGTAGCAATAGGTTACCACTCAGAAAGGAATGATCCAGATGATAGAGAAATATTCTTATCTGTCATTGAATAGTTCAATTCTGCTAGCATAAGAGATAACAGGACGGTTTGGCTTGGGTTTGGACAAGGACAACACCAAGTCTGTAGCCACTGGCATTTGTGTTGTAGCTTAGTCAATGCATTGTGATGGAAGTGGTTTAAGTCAGGTTCAGAAGTGCAGTCTCTTATTGCTCGTGATTCCACCAAAAGCTGCTGGTCTTCTTCAGGATTGATGTGAGTGGTTTGGTAATTCTGGCAAATTGCTTAATACAGAAATTTAGGAAGCTACAAACTTGTTCATGTAGGATAAGACTTCCCATAGCTTATCAGGATAAATTTCCTTTCCATCAATGACAATCTTGATATTTTAGTTCAAAATCAACACTTCTTTGGGTTCCAAATGTAGATTTGCCTGCAAGAAACATTTTACGACCATTGAAATTAAGAGGCAAATACAACCACATCATCAAGGTAATAAAGATATGTTCCACTCAAACCTGGTAGTAATTCATTCACCAAAGATTGCAACCCCATTTCATTTACTCTTCTCTGATAATATAATTCAGCCAGTCAGACCTAGTAAGGCTTCTGTTTGATTGCATAGCAATCTCCAACATGGATTCAGTGTATCATGCTAACTAGATAGTTATAGTTTATAAAGAAAAGGCCTTAACTCGATGGTATAGCCAGAAGGAAAGGGAGAGGGAGGGATGGAGATAGGGTGGGGTGAAGGGTGGGGAGTGGGTGGGAATGGGAAGGAAAAGAGCGAAGGGGATAAGAAGAGAATAAGGGCACTTGCCGCGAACCGTCCGTACAGAGGGGACAAATTACGAATAGTGTGTAGGGTTAAAAGACCGCATGAAGGATACAGAGAGTAAAGATGGTGCCTTTGATAAGCATGACCAATAGCTAGAGAATAACACAAGGTGCCAGATGGAGTATGAACAGGGAGGCACCTTAATAGTTGGGTGCAATGGAGTAGGTGGACGGATACAGTCAGGTAAGAGTCAGCGAGTCATAGGAGCTCGAGGGTGAGGGAGCTGGACGCTAACTAGATAATGCTGACATTGGCTTATCTAGTTAGGACAACCACTGCAAACAAATTTTTGTATTTAGAGAGTAATGTCAACATTTTGATGGCTGTCTGACCAATCATCAACTGGAGTGATAACGTATATACCTGGGCCTTTATAGCTTTCTTATTGCTGAATGCAATTGCACTCAGAAATTTCTGACATTAAGTAGGTTACACCTACTCATGTTTTTGAGTGTTTTTATGGATGGCAATAATGCAGTCTCAGATACTCTATAGTATTTATTCTAGAATAAATTCGATAACCTATAAATCCCAGAGACATTTCTGGATTGAGTGCACCATAAAAAAAATCCATAATGAATTGCTTAACTTTCCTAGTGACATTTTTATGGCACCGTCATATTTTATTACTAAACATCTAATATTAAAAAGAAAAAAGCTTTAATTATTCAATAATGTAAATTCTGATTTATAAGATACAAACAAACATATTAATTTAATTTAACTGTAACTACCTCTCGAAGATACGATTTTAGACAATGAGTACTCGGATTTCCACAGAACAGCGAGAAATCTCCTCTCTCGCAATTTCCCGCTTCCTTTCTCAGTAACCAAGAAATTTTGACTAAGGACAATTTATGATCTTTGCAAAAATCGTCTATAAAATCTTGCAAATTTGACTGTAGCCCGCCGACTGAGCCATCATTTGTAGAATCTGCTCAATTAAACAAATCTCGCATAAAATTTTGCATTTCTCACAAAAACCAGCCAATTTATGATGTAATAAAAAGTTGGAATTTATTCATATTTTATACATTTTATAGTTTTAATACAAAATAATTTTTTTAAAAAAAACCTGACATTAAGATTTACTTTCTTTCTGTTTCTTTACTGGTTGATAATTTTTTCTGATCGAATTGTTGAATCCTTCCCTGTTTCTGGCCACTTCAATTGCATAAAACTGAATTCTGGGCACTGAAAAACAAAGAAAAATATTTTCAAAATTAAGTAGGGCTATTTTCAATGTTTAAGAATTAAATATAGAAAATATAATGAAATAACGATTGTTTTAATGTACTGTACAGTCACACCTCTAAACAACATCCACTGGCAGGAACATAAAAACTGGCTGTTGTTGGGAGATGAGCTGAAAATTACATGGGATGTAAAAAGTAATAAATAAAGTTTTCCTTCAATTTAATTTATATCTGTTTTTAGGTGTTCTCTGTACATTTGAAAATGTCTTTTCTACACAAATTTTTTCAGATTGTCTAAAATGTTAAATTTCTCTTAAAAGACATCACGGAATTATGTTTATTTTTTACATTTACAGCCATGTGAAAAACCAATAGCTAAACTATCCATCTTATCAATAATGAATATTTTTCTACAGTGCATTATTATTTTCTGTACATCATTTTGAGGGTGGTGGCCACTGTTGCGATATTAAAAACAAGTAAAACAGCAAAACTGTATTAGGGTCAAGACTATGTCTCGGAGACGGAATCACTTTGATGCTCAAGGCAGGTCTCATTCTCATATCTTCTTTGATATCGCTGCTTTTGGGCGTGATAGTTCAAACTTCGCCAGCCACGACCATGAGATTGTCCACAATGCATCTTTGATGAAATTAACCTATCTAATTTCAAAATTTCTCTTCGTTGCATGTCGGCCCAAGTTGAATTTTTGTTGATGCGTAACGAAAAGTTCCCATTTTTGAAAAAAATAATCGTGGCTATTGTATTGCCTGAAATTATTTTTTTATTTTGTACCAACAATATATAGTTTAACTCGATTATAACGTCATTGAATGTAACGACAACCCTAATATAATGTCAAATTTTTATCGGTCCTACGATTTTACTATACTAGATAATGTTAAAAAAAACCCACTTGTAACGACATAAAACCGTTTTAACGTCATATTTGAAGCACTCCCAAATTTACAAAATTAGATTACAAATTTTACTTAACATAGAAGAAACTATGTGTTCAGTCCTAAGGTCAGAGTTCACTTCTTAGAATGACTGTGGGTTGTACTCTTCCCTACCCGACTTCGGTGGGGTGAGGTGGCTGTTTTGCCTGTTTGTAGAAGACAGTTGCCATTTTGGATTTTATTTTGACTCGATTCTCGGTCCCCTGACTACCTACGAGTCTGGATTTTTTAATGCGCAAATGATTTGGGCACTTAATACTCTGTGCCAAATATCAACTCTCAACATGTACTCCTTCATATCTCTATGCTGGTAAGAAAATTGGGCAGTACGATTTTATAAACAAGATATAGTCTTGTCAATAAGGTTTCTAGAGGCCAGGTCCATTGTCCAGATGCTATTTCATTTGCATTTTTGGTCTAAAGAAAGTTTGGAGTGTTATGCAAAATTCTCTAAAGTAACGTGTAATGTTGTTTGTTAAATGTTATTCTCATTCAAATTTTAAGTATTTTATAATATATTGAAAGTTAAATTAATAGAAATAATTACCTAAGACAGTATTTTCTTTTGAATAATCTTTGGAAGAATCTATCCTAACTAAAGTTCCAAAATTAAAATCTTCTACAACATTTTCAAACGAATTACAGTACGGTCTCCATTTCTATATAAAAATATCAAATTAATTAATGATATAAAACATAATTCATGTTATTTTAAAAATCGCCAAGTTATTTTGACATTAAACTTATTACACTTACTGCTTTTGCTTCTTCGCTTTTCAGTTCTTTCTCATCTAGTACATCCACAGACATATCTGGAAATTCCTTGCGGAAGGATTCGTATATTCTGTCATCGTGGGGAGTCAGTTTCAGAAGCTGTGGATCGATCGAACACAACAGCTAACGTAAAACATAGAAGTTAAATTTTAGTAAAGCTCTACATTACCACAAATATAAAATACAAATTTAATTTTTCGATAAGCAAACTTTCTGCAACATACTTAAAAAATTTAATCCAGGAAACAATTTTAAATTAAAAATAAGCATTTAAATATATTGAGTAAACAATATTTTACTGTAAAAAAAATTATGGAGATTATACTGTGTATATACATATACACACAGTATAATCTCCAAATAGCTGACACCTGTTGGGATGGAGAAGTTCGTCTGCTATTTAGAGGCGTCCGCTTTTCACGGGTACATGCCAGCAGCTACATTGTATTTTAACGTGGTTATTACAAAATGAAGAATATGATGGATTATGAAAATATCAAATTTGCAATGCTTATATACCAAAAAGTATAAGTAGCATATACAATATATTATTTATTTTTTCAGCTGTAAAAATCTTGTTTGAACGTTGAGTTACAAAGGCAACTTGCCACCTACTTCAAGGGGTGGGAAATATATTCAGAATTTTTACATTTATAATGTCATTTACGATCTAAGCGACCAATAAAAATCGATAAGGGGATTGTCTGCTTTGTAGTTATTATGTGGATGTAACTTTTCAAACAATTTTGTTTTTTCAGTAACTGATTTATTAAAAATTACACTTTAGCCACCACAAAGCTGTTAAAATGCTAAACAACAACAACATTTGTTTGATGAATGTTCAAAGGTCATGTTACAAAGGTATTTTGCCAGCCATTTTAGTGTGAGAAGATATTCGGTTTTCTCGCATTTATGACATCATTTATGATCTTAAGTTTTTTCATTACTACTATACTATAGTTCTTGTCAAACAAATAACTTAAAAAAAGTTCTTAGTGTTTTGGTATCATAAGTTTAATTCCAACAATAAGATAGAAGTTTAATAATAATAATATGTATAATGATAAATGGTGATTGAGAACTGAACCAGGTTAAACTTCTCTAACAGATAAAGAATATTGTTGGACTTCTTATAATCTGCTCTCCTTCCCTATTCCTATTTTAAGCCATTCTTTATTTGATGCCTATGATCAAAGAGCCTAAATGATCATGTCATCCTAACAATGGAACCACATGTATTTATCTACATAAAAAAAGTCAATTTTATATCTATCAAGTTATATTTAATGATCCTGGATGTGTTACAAATTTTTAATTAATTAATAAACCAATTAGATTCTTCATGATTGAATTGATGAAGAAGTTCAACAAAAATTTGTAAGTGATTATTACTCACATTGAAATAAATTTCCATATGTTCAGTCGCTTTAATAACCCACATCAATTCCACATCGGGCTAGAAAATAAATAAATAAAACACATTAGTTCTCTACATCACATTTACTTGAGCTTTCAAATAGTTTTCAAAGAAATGCAAGAAATTCCAATAATTTTATGTAAATTGAAATTAAACAAAAATTATATGTTGGCTTGTAATGAACATAACAGCTCTTTCTGAAGATACCGAGAGGTCTGAAAAGAGCTGCCATTAAATGTTGCTACATTCGACAACATCTTGCATTTAGGAGAAAGAAATAATCTTCCTTCGTAGATCTGTTCCCTGTACTTCCAGGAACGAGCAAGATGTTTTCAAATAAGTCAAAACAACTCTAAAGGCAACTAACAATGCTACAATTAGCATTTGTCATTCGACTACTACCAACAGCTTGCCTTGAGTCTCACTACTGTCACATGTCTTTTCTTCATACCATGGTCTAAACAGTTTGCTATCTCAAATTTCAATCATCATCCTTAATATGAAATGAAGCAACTACATAAAAATAAGATGCTTCTAATGCTGAACCAATATGAAAAAAAAAAAAAAAACTATTTTAAGCAAGCTTTGATTTGAAGATTTAAACACACAAGGACCATCACCTTAATTTGTCTATCATTTCATTTATTTAAACAGAAACAATTTTCACATTTGCTGCTTAACTTTAGAGCCTTAAAATATATAGTCTGAATACATAAATAATTTCCAACACTTCAGGAAAGCATAAACATCATTTATTTCCTTTAAAATATTCAAAAATGTTAAATGTATAGCAGAGTAAACAACTAAAAGTGTTGTATGTAAGTAGAACAATATTAAAAAATAATAATTCATATATTTTCTAAAAAATAATAACAATAACTTTATTAAAACTAACTTGATTTGATCACTCTTTCCTATAATCTTCCTTTAATAGACAGGAATTATCAATTTCTCTAATTAAGGGAATTTTTGAAGAGATTAGAATTTTAAATAGATTTAGTCCAAAATGACAAATTAGAAAAATGCACGGAATTAAAATTCCGTGCATTTTTCTAATTTACTCTACTAATTTACTCTTTGTAATTTACTTTACTAAATTACAAAGAGAACAACTTGCAACAACTTCATTAGACCGGTAATACTAAGAATTGAACACCACTTATTTTATAACTTTTCAAAATGCCATTTTGGGTATAACTGTGAGCTTCACTTGTTTATACTATGGCGCACGTGCAGACTTCATTTATTCGAAAATTCAATTTCAGCATCATTCTTCAGTTCAAAATATTTTTCTGTTCTGTTTATGTAACCCAATGATGTCAGTTCAAAATGAATGAAGATGTTTGTTAAAGGTTTTGGTGATTTTTTATAAGAACAATTTGCAATTTATTTGTTAGCATTTTATTCTGTCTTTGCTCAGATTTGATTTAGTCCTTGTAATTTTAGGTATTACTGTAAGGTTTCTGATGGAGATGCGGATGGATAAGAGGGTCGAGGAGTTGTGAAAAATTGTATGTGGGTGCGATGGTCACTGAAACAGACTCTACAGTTACAAGAAAGTACCTGACACAAAAGAAGCTTATAAGATTTCCACAATCTCGGAAGTTCTAAATCGGTGGAGGCCTCTGGATCTTCCTCTACTTTCCAAGATAGTCCGAAAAGGAGGAGTGTTCCTGGTTTGCATGTGAGAGTTCCCTCAATGTCTCAACAGCTCCGGGACAATGTAATTGACTTCTGGTGATGGGAAGATGTTGATCCGAGGAAGGGAGACAGAGACAAAGATAGGGACGACACACACACACACACCAATTGGTCTGACACTTTGAACTTTCGGGAGAAGACAACATCATGTCCTTGAATTTCCAGGTTTTTATTCATTTCTATCCTCAATCGCCCATTCTGATTAGGTGCTTTTCCTTGTTCTTGCTTTCCAAGTGGTTGACCACTCATTACTAAGTGCAACAAAATCTCAGCTTAGATCATGAGAGAAATCAAAATCGACATTTAATTCAATCTCCCAACCAGAGATGGTCAATCTTAGGACTTACATTCTTCTATTGTTTAAACATTCGCATTTAATTTTCATACAAAAAAATTATTTCTAGCTTTTTTTAAAAAAAAAAAAATTATTTTAACGCATATTTTAGCAAGGGTTCAAACCTGTCCAGAGCCTCACATTACCTTGTGTGATGATTCATGCTAAAAGCCAACAAATGCAAATATTTAAATTTACAACTCCACAATACCCGGATTAAGATTATCCATCAAACTCCGAAGATACAGAAAAATTGATCAAACAATAAATTTCTACTGGAGAGTTTATAAAATTCTAATTGAATCAAAATAATTCTGCTTTATTTTAAAATATTTTCATTTTTAAAAACTGAATTTTTTTCAATTAATCTTGCATTAGACAACGGAATCAAAATAAATCTAAAAAAATTTCATGTCGAAACTTACATTGTTTTCGTATTCTTCTGCCGAACAAGAAAGAGCCTTATTAATCTCGCGAGGTTCATCCTGAAAACAAAAACAAAATAGTGATAATTAAAAGTTATTTAATTAAAATTTAACATAATTATAAGTTGTCTACAGAAACTACTGAAATGAGTAACAAATAAAAGATCTGTTCACTATGATAAATATCCTATACAACTTTAATACTAGATTAAATATGACAAATGTCAAAATCTCTTATTCTCAGTTTCACTCCTTGTCATGTCGTGTCTTACCACGACATGTTAAGGGCGCGTCGAGCGAGACACCCGATATATAAACTATGTAACGGAGGGCAGTGCAGCTTTTCTTGGGTCGTTGCTAAGCCCTGTTCCGTAGATACATGATATATGTAAAATAAATGTGTAATGTTCTAAGTGTCGTGTTCATTCACTTCTCAGGCACTCCTAATGTAAGATTCACGGGGATTTTATACTCCTGCAACTGTGTATAGAACTACAACATTCTCTAGTCTTATGATCTGTTGCAATGCATTCCTCTTTGTTCCAATCAATACTGAAAAATCTCAATCTTTTATAAATGTATTGTACAGAGTTCTCCTCGGTCTATCTATCTTTTGTCATCCATTAACTACCAGTAAGGTTTTGTACCATAACTGACCAGTAGTATCCAATAGTCACACCAAGATTTTACTGTTATTATAGTTTACACGTCATAATTATTATTAATTAGAAGGATAAACTTTCACCAATCTTCCTTTTACTGATATCAAATGTCATAAAACGCTTTAAATCAACGATAATTGTTTACGAAAGACTTAATACGATTACTTACGTTACCGCGTGCTTCCACCTCCATGTTGTTGTCAATATCTTATTTCGAATAAGTGTTGCCAGAACACCGTCCACATAAATAAATAAATTTAAAATAAAACGTTTGTTATATTTAAATTTATTATTATTATTTCGTACGTAATTATAAAATTATTTTTTTATTTTTATATTAATGAAACCGTGGTTTATATTTCTTTTCTTACACAGACACAATGCAGCGACAATTTTCAAACACTAAGCAAATTTTCCATCTTTTTATTCGGTTGGGACTCTTTCTACGGCACTCGTTTCGGGCTCCTGCCCCTCCTCAGCCAACTTAAAATTTTTCCATATGCAACAAATACATATATACAGACGGCACAGCATTTTTAAGTTAACACATTCGGATTGTTTTCTTTTGATAACAGTAACCAGTATATTATTACGCAATGGACTCCACTTCGTTCCATAGGTTGTACAAAGGACGAACAGACTAACAGGACAAATTTCTGTGATTCGTATCTTAACACATCACTTGAATTTACATAGTGACTATTGCTGCTGCTGCCGCTACGAATAGATCTCACACGTAACCACTTCAACTACATAATCTAGTTTATTGATTTGCATATATATCAATGGGGCAAAAAAAATGTTTTTAGTGTTCAATAAAAATTTTAATACAAACCATAACAACTGCACATAAAACTTATTAGCATACAATAATATTAGTTAATGGTTTTTAAATTCTAATAGCTATTATGCAAATATACTCAATATTTTGAACCCGAAAGATTAATATTATAACATTATTTAATATTCTCTAGCACTTTTATAGCATTTTTTAATCCAATTTTCACTGATTCTGACACTTAAATTTTTATTTATGCAATTTTTATTTTTACCATTAACCGATCGGAGAGCCGCGATGGTTAAGGCGTCATTCTACGTCACTGTATATCCGAACAAGCAACCCTAAGAAATTTCCGGGTTCGCGTGTGAGGAACCGTCCCTCACCACTTGGCCACCTCATTGTGGTCCTGGACAAACCTGTGTTAAATTAAACACGATTCAGAAACCCTCTTAGCGCCCAAAGAGCAGAAAGAAGGAAAAAATGTTTTTCAAAAAAGTTGGAGAAACACATACAGATTGTAGTGTACCATATTCGATGTAATAAAAAAATCACAGAGGGACACGCTACCCCTTGGAAGTCAAACAGATCGTTTGCTCCCACTAAATCAGGCTTTGTAGCCGAGGGCGAGGCAGAAGTTTTGGAATTAGAATTTAATAATTAATTTTTTAAGAAATGTCGAAAAATTCTATTCTGCCTCACCCAGTATATGGCAAAACACCTGATATAAGTCTGATTTTAGGAATCATTATGATAGTGAGATTATATCCCTTTGCTCTCCACTGGAAAAGCTGCATAAGACGTCCATGCAGAGAAAATAATGCAATATTCGTATGAAACTCGTTTTATTCCTATTTAAATTTTCATTTATTTAATTTATTATGAATGAATTTTAACTTAACTGGAGTGAACTCTCGTTAGCATCAACCCTGTTTAACGAGAACTATCGGTTCTCATCATCAGTTTTAAACGTTCTGTGACAGGCCGGACTTGACGAAAAATCTAAAAATTTTTCCGTCAGAAAAAAATAATTATAAAAAATCTAATTATATCAGTTCCCACGGATTTGCTTCCTTGTCCAGAGGTGTCACCAAACATATTTCTAATCTTTATTGAGTTATCACCCCATTGGGGTGTGGGCCGTTCTCGGGAACAGTGCAAACCCGAGCCAACCCGCGACAAAGGAGGAGCAAGCTCCAACCTTTCGCCAGTTTCCAAAAATCAATTTAATATCGAAGCTTCTGGTAGAAGCGAATCAGATATTAAGCTGATTAGAACAGAAACTGATTCTCATAAAGTTTATACGGTGAGAGTAAATCCCATGCAGAGTGGCTAGAGGCAGCCACCTGCGCCCGCAATAACTAACTAATCATTGAATGCAGTACCTCCTCACTTCACAGAGCCCCCACCTTAGTGAATAAGGCCGTTCTCTGTGCCGTGAGGATAGAAGAAACTAACTGAAGTAAAACAGTGGTTGTTGGCCTCGTCACACATGCCGATACGGCAAGGGAGTCAACAGCCTTAAGATTGAAGTAAGCAGTATCCTATCCCGCTGAACAGATGACAGGGGAATCATTGGATAGTAGGGCAGGAGTTGCCACAACAAAAGCTAAAGCCTGTACAGGCTAGGGCATAGGAAACAGAAAGATCAAGAGGGAAGTGGAGGTCCAGCACACAGAAGGCTGGAGTCCATCCCCTAGAGAGACAAACAAAGTACTTAAAAAAACTAGCCTATGCTAACTTATATGCTAACGTGCACTTAAGAGAGTAGATCGTTAAGAGTTGGGCTACCGTCCTTCCAGGTCCAGAGGGTCTGGTTGGGGGTATCCCAAAGAGCATTAAAGTTTGCCCGTTTAAGAGACTGAAAATCCGAGAGTAGCTTGCGAGCTAAAGCCTCTCGGATTTTGATACGGAAAAGGCGGTGGGCGGTGTATTTGTGTTCAAATACCCTCCTACACCTGGCTAGCCACATCTCGTGTTTAGCCATGTGAATAAGGAGACTAATCACATAGGGAGATGCGGTGCCTTTGCTAAAAAGGACGTGGAGAACTACGTTCTCTCTTGACAGAAAGGGTAGTCCTAGGAGGGGGGTAATCCAGCCCCAAATTTTCCTAGCTACCCTACAGAAATAAAAGAGATGTGCTGCCGTTTCGGGCGAAGAGTTGCACATGGGACAGTTTTCACTCATAACGTAAACTCCGATAGACCGGAGTTTGACTCTGGTGGAGAGTGCATTATGCAACAACCTCCACTGGAGTTCGACGCAGTGTTCGGGAATAAGCCCATCAAAACATCTGCGCCAAACAGTGGCCCAGTCAATAGAGGCCTGAGTGATCAATGGACAGATCGAGACAGAGGTGTCGGGCCTAAGGTGGCGATAAATTTCGCAAGCCTTAGTTTTTGCAGAAGGGATGTTCCCAGATTGGGAGAGACTGAGAAGGTGCGTGCACCATACTTTCGCAAAGGGTGGTGGAACCAACACTTTGGGCATAAGATTTACCTTGTAATTAGGTAACAGAAGCTTAAGGCGATACCCAAGAAAGAAGCTGTACAGCTTACTTACCGGGTGATCGCGGGCAGTAAGGGCTAGGACAAGCTGCCTAATTTGGGCAGCAGCAGAGAAGAGGGAGGGCTCAAACATAGCCCAGCCACCGTTTGTTCTAGTATTATACATAATATTACGACTAACCCATTCTGGCTTGTTGCCCCAAACAAAACGGAAAAGGAGTCTATTAATATGCCTAAAGCCTGCGTCCAGGCCGAAAACAGAGGCATAGTACACACAAATACTAAACATAATGTTTTTGTAGACAGCTATCCTACTTGGAAAGTAGAGATAGCTTCCCGTCCAAATGGAAATTTTGTCCCCAATTTTAACTTTAATCTCCTTTAGGTTATGTTTGGCCGAGTCGGCGCCAAAGTATATACCTAGTATTTTAACCCTATCGCTCACAGGGATGTCAGCGAAGGGTACAGGGAGAGAGATGGAACCAACAAGGGGCAGAAAAGAAGATTTCCCCTTGTTTATGACAGCTCCAGAGGCCTGACAGTACCTGTCGAAGTGGCCAAAAATTCTGGAGATAGCCCAGTTGTCCTTCACAAAAAAAGTGACATCATCCGCATGGGCCACGAACTTGTAGTAGTCCGCCATATAGTACCCAGGCATAGGGTAGCCTGAGATACTGAAGTCCCTTTGTATCTCGCCCAAAAGGGTATTGATACTAAGGGAGAAGAGGAACATAGAGAGAGGACATCCCTGTCTGACACCCTTCCCAAGCGGAAAGGGGTCCGAGAGATGGCCATTGATACTAATGCGGCAATGAGCCTTGTAATACATAATTTTGATAGCCAAAAGTACCTCGTCAGGTACACCATATTTTTTGAGGACGTGCCAAAGAAAGCCGTGATCAACACGGTCAAATGCTTTCGATTGATCAATCGAAAGCAGAGCCAATGGCCATTTCCTGTTAGAGCAGTACTCACTAAGGAGCCTAATGAAACTAAGATTATCTAAAATACACCTATTTGGAATACCTCCTGTTTGGGTACTAACAATGCACGGGGTAAGGGCGGAACCAATTTTGTTATATATAATACGCGCGTAGACTTTGTAGTCTACGTTGGTAAGCGTTAGGGGCCGAAAATCGTGAACAGTTGTGCAGTTTTCAACCTTGGGTAGAACAGAGAGCTGACCCAGGTTAAATTTTGAAATACTAGGGTCTTGGGGGGATAGAGAGTTATAAACCTTTGGGAGGAGGGAGGACAATTTATCAGAAAAGACTTTATAAAACTCGGCTGGCAAGTTGTCAGGACCAGGAGATCTGCCTGCACCCATTGCTGAAATTGCAGATTTCACTGATTCCTGTGAAAACAGTTTTGGGAAAGGATGAAGGGTAGCGGTAGGGATTGCTCTAGTCATGTCTTCCCATTGAGATGAGTCGACACGAGTAGGAGCGAAGAACTGGGAAAAATGCCGAAAGAAAACCTGGGTAATCTCTTGGTCATCGGAAGTTAAAGTGCCATCGTGCATTAAGATGGAGGAGACATTAGATTTGGATTTATCATTTCGATAACGGCCGAAAAATTTCGAGTCGAAGCGCCTCGGGGTGTTCAGTTGGGAAACTTTATACCCTTCATAGGCGTGTTCGAATCTACTGGTTAGAAGGGCAGAGATGCTGGCAGAAGCCTGCTCGATGAGACCTTTAGTGTANCGGAATGTTCGATATGGGTCCCAAAAAGAACTTATAAGAATTGCGCAAAGTCAAGGGTGACGCTCTCGGTTCTCTGTTCTTGGTTCGTAGTCCTCTCATCTTGGACGTGTGTGCTTCCGTAGAAATAGGAAAGAAATTTTCGAATATCGTGAAAACAAACCTCCTTTGGTGCGTCGCTCTGCGCCACCCAAGTCTATAGGACCAGAATCGTCTGAAGTTATGCCGAGCGCCTCGGGACCTACGATTGCTTCGCTGTCTCCGCGGAAAGGAAGGAAAAGAAAACTTGAACATTCGAACTTTATTCGGACTTAATCCTCTCTTTCTGTGCGATGATACTCCGTTGTTCAAGGAAATTTTGTAAGAAATTCTTATTTTTATTAAATGGTGTAACAACGAGGAACCCGTTTCAGAGATTTTTAAATGGTGAACTTAAATTGGAGCACATCGACAGAAAGAATCAATTAGCCGATCTGTTGACGAAGCCGCTTCAACGTGTCCGATTTGATTTGCTAAGAGAAAAGATTGGTTNGAAAAATGCCGAAAGAAAACCTGGGTAATCTCTTGGTCATCGGAAGTTAAAGTGCCATCGTGCATTAAGATGGAGGAGACATTAGATTTGGATTTATCATTTCGATAACGGCCGAAAAATTTCGAGTCGAAGCGCCTCGGGGTGTTCAGTTGGGAAACTTTATACCCTTCATAGGCGTGTTCGAATCTACTGGTTAGAAGGGCAGAGATGCTGGCAGAAGCCTGCTCGATGAGACCTTTAGTGTACCCAGATTTGTCATTACAGCAGCGACAGTCAGTTAGGAAGCGTTGAAGAATCCGCAGTCGACAGTGTCTCTTGCGGCGAAGGCGCCTATCGGTTGAGCGGGCAAGATGTAATATCTCCTTCTTGCACCGACACCAATCCTCAAGGCTGACAGCGGATAGTGAAAGCATGCTGGTTAGTAGCTTGTCTACTTGAGACAGAAAATCCTCGTCCCTAAGGATCTCAGGGGTGAGGCGGAAGCGGTTACGTTTCGAAGAGCAGGATAGGGTGAAGGTTGCCATTACCAGGGAGTGGTCCGAAAACCGATTACCCTGGAAATGGAGAGGTATAACGGAAAAGTCAGAAGCAGAAGATGGGATGTTAGAGTACATCCTATCCAACCTTGATTTTATAGAGCCGTTAGCATTGGACCAAGTAAAGAGAGAGTTGCCGGGTAAAACAGCAAGCTGCACATCTTTAAGGGAAAAATTACTCAAGAGGTCTTCTAGCTTATTTCTAGTAGAGTCAGGGGACCAGCTACCTCCTTCCTTATCTTCAGGACGGAGGATCACGTTCCAATCCCCAATGACAAAAATGTCCCTATTGGTAGCTAAGTAGCTACCAAGAATTTGNAAGGGGACACGAAAATTTGGGTATCGAATGTTATCGCTTCTCGGCCCCAGGCTAAGATCGAATTTATAGTTTCTGTTCTAATCAGCTTAATATCTGATTCGCTTCTACCAGAAGCTTCGATATTAAATTGATTTTTGGAAACTGGCGAAAGGTTGGAGCTCGCTCCTCCTTTGTCGCGGGTTGGCTCGGGTTTGCACTGTTCCCGAGAACGGCCCACACCCCAATGGGGTGATAACTCAATAAAGATTAGAAATATGTTTGATATGGCCGATGTTAATCGTCTCCATTTTTCCATATTCTTTGGCTGATGGACCAGTGAAATAACGGCGATTTCACACTAGAACGGATTGGACCGATATCGAATTGTGTTGTCATGAAACGGTACAGTAATACCCCGAATTTACGCGATAGGTGGGACCGAGCGATAACCGCGTAAGTCGGGGTATAATTTCGCAATTTGTGTAAAATCCAAGTCGGATGTATGTAAACAAATAAATGTTCTCGTTAATCTTATCTCGTCTTTTGATTCGTTCATGGTTACAAGAAATCACCATATAGAATGTCTCGAGTCTTTGTAGATATAACAAACACAAAAATAGCTACAATTTATTTTGTTATTTGTGTGTCGATTCCGCGCGACACGTCCTAATATGTAAGCTGAACAATAGTGTGGGGGAAGTGAGTAATCATCAGTTGCGTGGCGCTCAAACTAAAGACGAATCGACGAGATTTGAAAATCACGTAAGTCGAGGTATTACTGTACTATTACTGTTGTCACATCAATACCAGTCAGACAGATTTAAATAAAAGTTAAATATTTGCGATAGGGTCAGTGAGTTATGTTGCCATTTGAAATACAACAAATTATTCTTTTTACAATAAATCTGTCTGGAATTATAAAAAAAGACCTTCTTAGAGCCCAAAAGTCGGAAAAAGTAAAAATAATGTGGTTAATTATACCCGAAAATATGAGGTTTCTGTTGGAACTGTGACTATGCGCGAAGTGCTCCCTATACTTCCGCACCATGTGCCCGAAAGGTCAGCACCATTTTGTTAATGCCCACGTCAGGACTGACACCACTGTCTTAATTAAGGACAGACACAGAAACCTTTTTGTTCGTGAGATGTCGCGTTTGTAGGCGGTCGGATTCGGGATAGAGGCGGTCTAGGAGACAGCGTATACGGAGAATTAAGTGCACACTGCAACATTATTACAAAATTAATACCCGTTTTATTGTATAGACTAATTTTGCATGTATGTACTGTACAGTACATATAGAGTTCTTATATAGCAAGAAGCCTGCATTTATATTATTCTTCATTTTTGAGACGTACTGGATTTTATTATTATTGACAGTTACTTATTTATTGTGACGTTTTATTGGCTTTGTCTTCGACAAGGTCAAATTTTTTGTTATCTTCTATGCTTTTTGATTACGATTGTTGTCAATGATCTCAAATGTTCTGCATCAAGTACAAAACTATTGATTCCCGAGGATTTGTGGATGCGAATGAAACCAGGTTGAAGGTGATGCTAGTTGTTGCCATGTGTTTCCAAGCACTAACTGAAAACACGTGGCAACAATCAGCTTCCAGGCTGTTACGACTTCAGCCTACCTCTCTGGGAATCTAGATTCAAATCTGGGTGATCAACTCCCCAGGAATTTTTCATGACCAGTCTGTCCTGGAGTGTGGACTGGCAACAATTTCAGCCAGTATATATACCAAATATAGATTCTAATTATATAAATTAATGGCCAGATGGCCAAGACATTTAAGACATCAGTTTACCACTCAGGAGGACCTGAAATCAAATCCAAACAGTGCAAAGCATTAGTCCAATTTCGACATTATTATGGCTGTATATGGTCCAGGTTAGGATCAGTTATATACAAATTAAAAGTTACAAATGCATAGTGGTGAACCCAATGTCGGTTTGCTTGTTCTGTCAAGTTATGGCAATGCAATGCAACACTTGGGTGATCTACCTAGGGGGAAGCCTTTTTAAGGGTAACTGGTCCCTATTCAGCTGTTACAGACATGGAGAATACCCGGAAAACTCCACATGGCCAGCCCATCTGGGTGAAGTGCGAACTTACAACTGAACTCCCAGTGTTCAGGGAACTAAACTGCTTGGCCACTGATGGGTCATGTCATTATTACATGACAGCCCACATCCAAATGGGAGGCCAATTATAAAAATTTTAAGTAACAGACTGCATTTGTCACAAGCTGAATGTCTGATTCTGTGGACTTTCCATGATGGCTTATGGTTTGGATTAGACTTTTAAATTTAATATAATAGATAGATAAACAGTGCTTTTTAAATATTTTGTCAAATGGCAAAAAAAATAGCTCCATCAAGTCACTTCTATAACAAATTTAAAAAAAAAATATTTCTTCAGTGACCATGTGATGCTCTATAATCCAATCAGAAGTAACAATCTAATGAGTGTGTTATTTAAAATGTATTACGGCACTTCAATGATGTTTTGACATACAGTATAAGCTATTGAATTTGTAGAAACATTAGCTACTCTTCTTGAATTTCTCGAAATCTGTACTCTTCTTAATTCTTCAATCTCTACTTTTTCATAGAAATCTTCATAATTGGTGGGGGAATTTCTAGTACAGTTGTCCCTCGATAGTCCGACGTTTTTTAATCCGACATGCTCAGTAGTCCGACGCACCTCCCGTCAAGGTACCCATCCCCGTTACATGTCTGCTTGCACAGAAGCATGTCGCGATGTGAATCTCCCCATCCAATTCTTACTCGATGACACACATTTCGTGTGTTTTATGTGAGCAGNCAACCCTAGCAGTTTTTTTGTTTTTAACTATATCCAAAGAAACTATCCGTCCGTCACTATCCGTGACGAACTGTTGGACCGTGATACTGGAGGAGACGAGGAGTGCAACTCCTCCGCTCCTACCCCTGGAGAAGCTATAATAACTATTATAGCCCCTAATCTTAGGCCTAAAATTCCTAACTCTTCGCATGTTTTCAAAATACGTTTCTTGCAAAGCTAGAATATCTAGCTGAAGGGAGGACAATAGGGAAGCAACAAAAAGTTGGCGGGGGATGGACCGAAGTCCATTACAATTAAGGGTAGCTAAACGTATTTTGAGAGACATGTTTAGATTAGGGGGTTAGAACTCCTCCGTACTTGGGTCGGAGGACTTGCCAGCCCTGGCCTTCTTATGCTTACGCCTACGACGGCAGGCCCTTTTACTGGGCCTGCCTTCCCTCCCAGATCCGGATCCTGCAGCAGCGGACTCGTCACTACTGCTTTCACCTTCACTACCCTTACGACTAGACTTACTTCTAGTCTTTATGCTACTTAACGACCGCTCCCTACTATCTATCTTAGAGCGATCCTCTTCTGACTTATTTTCTACATTATTGCTATCGCCAGTATCCACAGGCTGAGCTGGGACTGGGTCTGTTACCTCAGCGACCGGAGTTGCAGCATGGGCCTCCGGCAGTTCGATGGGAGTGGAGACGGGGACGGAGGCATCAACAGATACCTCCATCTCAAGGTTGTCTGAAGCAGCTGCTTCTTCAACCGAACCCTTAGAGGAGCAAGACAGGATAGAGTGGTCCCCTGTGCAAACACGGCACGGTTTGGGACAAGACTTAGCAGCGTGATACCTACTGTGACAGTTGTCACATAGGCTGGCCTTGCAGTCCCGCTGCTCGTGACCGGGTTCGAGGCAACGTCGACAAATTCGTTCGACCCCTCTATACCCTAGGGTCAAGGGCACGCCCTCGTAATAGACTATGTTTGGTACAGGTTTCTTGACTTCAAGACAGATTTTAACCGTGCCCGTGTCAATGTGTGGGCGGCCCGGGACTTTGAGCATCGACACAGACCGCACGGTCCCGAATTGGCCCATTAACAGGCGTACAGCCTTTAGGTCCATTTCAGGTGGAAGAAAACGGATGAAGACAGTTGTAATGTCTTCATCAAGAGGAACAGGAAAGACCCTAACATCCTTCACCACAAAACCTGTGGAAACGAGAAGGCGGCGACTTTCGGTCGACCGAAAACCAATGAAGTAACGGTCCTTGCCCATTGGGGCGAACCGTGAAACCTCCCCTGGCGCTAGGGTGCGCTCGATGCCGTCCAGAATATCATCAATTGACGAGCCCTCCGGTACGGTAACATGGGCGCTAAGCACCCTGCGCATCCTGCCGTTGAGGACGGCAGGCTTGGCACATTTGTGCTGTGCCGAGACACCGGCATTTAATTGCTCGGTGTTGAAGAATTTGTTGGAGTGAGCAGTCACTGAGGCTGCCGGAGCCCATCGTGCTGCTACTCTAGCGAAACTAACTTTCTGGGGAACAGAAGGCCCAGAATTGGATGAGGTAACAGAGGTGGTGGGAGCGGTCCCACTAACTATGGTACTAAAACTGGCCTTAGGGGCCTTAGTAGCTGACTTATTAGCAGCAACCACCTGGCGCGTTGGCCCAGACTGAGCGGCAGAAGCCTTAGAAGACTTCATGCCGACCAGCCTGACCCCCTTAAAAGTGGGCTGCTCGACGGTACGAATGTGACCGGAGACAGGCCCAGGGGCAGGTTGGTTAACCTTATCACTAGCCTTACCTATTTTAACTATATTAACCTTACTACTGGAAGAGGAAGCTATCTTTGCCTCGACTACCATACCAGAAGTACTTGGACCCTCGGTTGGAGTTGTGTCCTCCATTGGGACACAATCCGCCCAAGCGGCAGAAGAAATACCCTCCATGGGTATAGGGTAGAAAGTAGTGAAAAGTCCCTACTATAAAGATGGGGCCAACCGTGGGGATATTGGCCCGGATTTCCCCGCGAATACGCTAGAATGCGCAGGCAGGTTCCTCCAGTGCAAAAAGGATAAGCTTTTCTAACTTTAGTTAAAGTCTAGTCGCTAGAGGGACCTAGACTTCCTCTTTTAGCAAGGAAACCTCACTAAAAGGCACCTTTTTGGTTAAAACGAACCAAAAAGGCTAAAAAGCTGGAACGACGATGTGGGTGCGCTAATGCACCCTAAAACTGACTTTTAAGGCCTAAGAACAAATATTATGATCTTAGCCAAAAAGGCCGAGAAGCGATAAAAAACACATCAAAGGTGCCGACGGGCCAAGTCTGGAAACGTACAATACACGTGTGGTGTGTCCAGGTGACGTCGATCGGCAAATATCCGTTAATACACACGAAAGAACGTCAGGAAACGATAGC